GATATCTCTTGCCTGGTAGCCCTTTGGGGCCCTGGAATGAAGAGAAAATAAAGTTATTTTTCCATGAACAGGAGAAAGAAGAAGATAGATAGAAGGGAGGGTATTAAGAGAATGCACAAATGGGATTAAAAGATCTGCCATGATCTAATAAACTGATGGGACAGTCTCAATGGGTTGTCCTATTCCTATAGTTACTACCGTGCCATCCTGTTATTCCACACTTCCTTATAATAATAGTAACATCAACAACAACACTTGGTTGAGATGTCTCAAAGCGCTTCACAGAATATTCTGTAAAGTGAATTGACTATATGCAATAGTATATGTATCACAGCAGCCAATCGCACACAGCAGTGTTAATACATAATATAACTTATATATTATAGCGGCAAATTCAGTTATAATGCAGTTGCACTGTGGATCCTATTCACTGTGCATGCAGCTTTCACACCAAAAAGGCAGACTTCTGGGTTATTAGATCACCGCCAAAGTCACTTCCTGCTTTGTTCTGCATACGCAAAGCAAGAAGTGATGTTGAAAGTGTCCTGATGATCCATAGGTCAGTCATTTGGCTTCCCACACTAAAAATGACCCCCTTAAGGGTTATCAAGTGACCAATACCATCACTTTCTGCAGTAACCTGTTACCTGGAAGTCAGCCATTGTTTCTTTTAGCATGGGAATTAGTTGGCACAGGGAGGAAGCCAGCCTGCACATGAGCAGTGAAACCAGCCATTGTGGCTTGATATACTGGGTTGGGGATTTTATGGATCCCAACCACCACTATACAATGATTCTAAATGGCTTCCACTGTTTTCTTCACCTCTCCTGTTGCCACTCTATGCAGGAAGCATCTTCCACTGGCTCTGCTTCTGATTTTCCGCCTTAACCTGGAGGTGGAAAGCGGCAGTGGGGTGTGGGTTGGGTAAGCACAATTGCACATAAAATGTGCAGTTTGAAAGTGTTCTCTGCTTTAGAACAAGAGAAATGACATGAAAAATAATGCATGAGCCAGCGATTAGTAGGACCTGTTCCAATACATTTACTTTCATTTTCCGGACAGTTGATAAGTGTCCCGTATAACTGCATATCTTACCCTTGGTCCTTCATATCCTACTGATCCATCTACACCAGGATCACCGGAATGGCCAGAATTACCCTATAATGACAAAAGTATTGGATTATTTCATTTTAACATTCAACTACCATCCTAAATAATCAGTGAATGATTGGGGTGAAAATGTGGAATGTGACAATTGTCCTCAGGCTCTACGTCTGGAGATGTTACAGCAATAGCTGTCTTGGAAGACCCTTCCAATTCCCAGAATATTTTTAAATTATTTATTTTCGCCCCCAAATCAATCATTGCAGCTGCTCAGACAACATTTTTGGACCCTGTATTTCACTGCTAGTTCCCAGGTTACCAACTCAACTTTTACAATTCATAATTATCGCAACACATACCACATTTTTAAGTCTATGTATTACTACAGTTGCTTGTTACTGCGCGCCTAATTCAATTGGCCGTTCATTCTTTGATGTTCCATTGCAGCCACATGTTACTTAAAAATTTACAGAGTGAAAAGTGGAAAAAATGATTCACTACCCTGTGCTCCTAATTTCTCTGCTCTGATGTCTCTCCTTATCAAAGAGATTGGCCTTTGTGTACACCTAAAACAGTAAACCGACTGAATTCAATGGCTCCACACTCACCTCCAGAACCGAAAGTAAGGTGTCTCAGTCCACTTCAATGTATTAACTGATTTAATGATTATCTTACCCTTTGCCCTCTTGTTCCCTTGGACCCCAGATCTCCATTTCTACCACTTTCTCCATCTTCTCCCTGAAAACACAACAACCAAAAGTATATTGTAGAGGTACATTATTTTGAACTCACAATGTAACGCGGAAGGCAAATTATTTATCTTTCTAAGTGTTACAATACCTGAAGACCAATGTCGCCAGAGCTGCCTTGCTCTCCCTAAAGAATTGAAACACAAAAATGTTTTTATAATATAACAATATATAATCCTTGCATTTGATATAGCAATCACGTCGCTTCACACAATACATTGAACCCGGGTCCTCTCGTTTGCGAGGTAAGCACACTAACCACTACTCTACGGGACTCAACTTTAACTCAAATATCAAAGATGAATGAAATTTGTTGCTGGTGTTAAGTTAGGGGACACTTCTGGGAATTGTATCCCCACTATTTGGACTTTATGGCAATGATACAACAACACGCAAAGTAGCATCCTGGAGCGCTTGACAGTGTTGGAGTCTGACGCCAAGCCAGGGGAGAGGGAGTGGGGAGATGACTGTAAGCACATCAAAAAGGAAGGTCTTTAGGTGGGATTTGAAGGTGGGGAGGGAGGGGTCAAGGCAGAGCAATTGAGGGAGAGAGTTCCAGATATTTAGGGTTTAGTGGGTGAAGGCACAGCCACTGATGGTGGTGCAGAGGGGACGTGGGACAAACAGGAGGCCAGTGTCAGCCGAGCAGAGGCAGCGGGTGGTGGAGTGGGGGTTAACCAGGTCAGATACATAGGGAGGTGTGAGGGCATGAAGGGATTTGAAATCGAGTGGAGGATCTTGAAATTGGTCCGTTTGGTCATTGGGAGCCACGGAAGCCTGGCAAGTTTTTGGATTCATTCAATTTTGTATGTGGAGCTGGGAAACCAGCGAGGAGGGCATATCGGAATAGTCCAGCTATTTAGGCTGCGTTGTTTGTGGGGTACAGGCTGAGGTGGGCAATGTGATGGATGATAAGCAATCTCACATCAAATATTAGGCAGATACAGACTTGGCTTTTTCTGCCTCAGTTGCTTAATATTCTTGAAACAATCCTTAGAAATTTTATATTTGGCTCCATTTTAATAATAACTATTTCCCAAAATAACAAATCAAAACCTAAAAGCTGTTTTGAACCACAGGATGCTTGTTTGTTCATTGTAATCTGATTTAAGGTTCCTGGAAAGCTATCACTCAAGGATTTTGCTTTGTTTCGTCAAAGTATCCATTTTGTCAAATATTGGAGTATCTCCTCTGATGCGCTTCTTCTACTTCGCTAGAAATTGTAAAGAGGAATATTAGCAACCATGGGGTGTAATTCAGAATGTTTTTGATGTGCTTTGTTGCGCTAACTGAAGAAAACATACAATTTTCACCTTATAAACGGATTAAATGGGCAAAATGCTACCTACAACAACAGCAACTTGCACCTATATAGCGCCCTCCAAACGGGGTAACGTCTCAGAGCGCTTAACAGTGGCGGAGCCTGCCTCCAAGCCAGGGGGAGGGGTGAGGTGGGATGTGGCCATAAACATGGTCGAAGAGGAAAGTTTTCAGGCAGGACTTGAAAGAAGGGAGAGAGGGGATAAGGCGGAGGGATTGAGGAAGAGTGTTCCAGAGCTTTAGGGCATTGTGGCTGAAAGCGCGACCTCCAATGTTGGGGCAGAGGGTGTGAAGGACGAGTAGGAGGCCAGTTCCAGTCGAGCGGAGGCGCTGGGTGGTGGATTGGGGAGTGAGGAGGTCAGAAAGGTTGGGAGGTGCCAGGGAGTGAATAGATTTGAACACGAGTGTGAGGATCTTGAAGTCGATCTGTTTGGTGATAGGGAGCCAGTGGAGCCTGGCTAGAACTGGTGAGATATGGGTACGGAGTTTGGTCCGGGTCAGGATGCGGGTGGAAGAGTTTTGAATGAGCTGGATCTTGTGAATGGGGGAGCTGGGGAGCCCGGGAAGGAGTGTGTTTGAGTAATCCAGGCGGGAGATGACAAACGTATGCACAAAGGTTTCGGCTGTATTTGGGGTAAGGTACGGTTGGAGGCGGGCAATGTGGCGGAGGTGGAGGAAGGCGGTCCTGGTCAGGGACTGGATGTGGGGGAGGAAGGACAGCTGGGGGTTGAACCAGACGCCTAGGTTGCACGCTGGTTCAGTGATTCTGAGGAGTCTATCTACATTTTGTAAGAGAGGGCAAATAGTAGTAATAGAAATAGTAGCATTAAAAATATTGTATTTTGCACTGTATTTTCTTTTCCTGTTATAGACCACAACAACTTCAACAACTTGCACTTACATAGCACCCTCTACTCAGGATAGTGTCTTAGAGCACTTAATGAACAAACAATTAATTTAAATAGACTCCATTGGAAAAGCATTCCATTTCATCTGCTGGCACATTTTGCAATGTTCATTGATTTTAGCTGAGCCACAGCATTTGGCTTTTTTGTTATCTTCCTGTGCATTTGAATACTGGACAAAGCTTTGGGTCACTGCAAGTTTGTTCCTAATTTGACTTCCATTTTTAGTCCCGATCACAGAGAGTGGTGTTTCTAGCGCTGAGACAGAGAATGAACCCTTGATTCCAAGAAATTGAAATTAGCATTCATACTTGGCACTCTCGATTTTGTTTGGTTACTTTTAAAGATATTGATGGTTTCCACTCGTGTCAGAGACCTGTCTGGTCAAAAAAAATATACAACTTCATGGGATACTGTCTTCATTTAGGTTCATCTAGGCCAGTTTTCCATGAAGCAGTACTGGAACGCCATCATCAGAAAAAGGATGTACGTCCAAAACCGATCAATATTTATTGACTGAAATTGTAATTTCTTTTACAGACTCAATGTGATGATTATATCAAATCTGTTCTCAAACATTGATAGTAATACCAATGGTACTTTGCTTAGGGCAGAGAGGAGATAGCTTTATTCTACATCTCACTGTGCTCTAATAACTTAGGAACAAGAGTAGGCCATTCAAGCCCTCAAGCCTGTTCTGCAATTCTATTAGATCAAGGTTCTACCCAGTCATGGGAGGGCTTATATAGGTAGTTAATGTGGGAAACGGTTCCATTGCTTAACAGGAATATGCTATTGATGAGCACAACATTGACAACCTCGACCCCCCCCCCCCCCCCCCACCCCAACACCACCCAAAAAAAGATTCTACATTCACAAACAAATACAATAAACTAGTAAAATGGTTTGTTACCTTTTTTCCTTTCGATCCTGGAAGGCCATAACCAGCCCTGCCTTCAAAGCCCTGTGTGAGAAATAACAGTGTATTTAGTAACATATAAAATATTTTGGTGTGGATCAACTGCAATGTTTTAGCTCAGCACAAATTTAGCAATTTGAGGACTGAAATAGCAATAGATACCAATAACAGGTTCTCAACAGAATCACAGTAAATTTGTAATCATTTGTAATAATTCCTTAAATTCAGTTTTGTCAGATACGGCTTATGCGAGTTTTACTTTACATGTAGTTTGATAGTAAATAACAATTATCCCCATACTCATTCAACTCAAATTGACTTATCATTTTCATATGGTTCTTTTAGACGTCTCAAAGCGCTTCACAGAATACACTGTAAATGACTGAACATTTGTGGCAGAAACGCAGTAGCCAAATGCGCACAGCAGTGTCCCACAAACAGTCATGGATTGAAATGACCAATTTATTATTTTTTTCTTGAGAGATTATTATCAGAAGTGTGGAGTAAGGAAACTCAATTCCATTGCCTGAAATCTTGGACTGTCTCCAAACCCACCCACTCTCCCTGGCAGAACAGCCACCTCCACTCCCTTAAATCCCAAATCTGTAGTCGAGTGTGGAGTAAGGAAACTTGCGCAAGATTTCCCTCTGCCAGAATCGAACCCAGGTTTCTCACCTGTGCGGGAGTGCTCTAACCACTGAGCTACTGGACTTTTGCACAGTGGCACAACATTCACAACTCTCCAGTCCCTTGGAATACTTCCCATCTTTAAGCAATTCAGAAGTATGTCATCCACTTCAATGTTTCACTCTAACTTTGTGGTCTGGTTGCTTTTGCTTCGACTGTCTGGAATTAGGTTTTCTGCCTATCCATTTACATTCAGAAAAATAGTATTCTCTCTCAAAATGTTACGTTTGCCTCTAAACAAGTCAGAAATTACAAATGAAATATTGTGTGTCCCCTGGTAATGCTGTCCCCCTTATCGAAGCCTGCACACCTGCCTACACTTTCCACCCCCTACCCCCTGCCCCAACTAACATGGAGGTGGGGTAACTCTCTTTTCCCAAAACTAGGGTCTACTCGCCCATTCCACTGGCTCCTTCACATCCTTTGAGTACCTCACGCTATATCATCCCTCCTTTCTCTCCTTCAAAATCCTCCTAGTCTACCAACGCCCCCCCACCCAACTACCTCCACCAACCAACCAGCTGGCTCGCTCCTCTTAGACATCTTTTCTCTCCTCTCATCCCTCGGCCACAGCACTGATTTCGACCTTTACCTCAAATCCTCTTCTCCTCCCTAAAGCTCATCCCCCAAATAAACTCCCAACCCATAACCGTGGCCACCCCTCGACCTCATCACAACTCATGGCCTTGACATCTCAGATCTATCCATCATGGACAAGGCCAGCTCTGCCCATTTCCTCATCTCCCTCTCCTCTTATATCCCCCTCCCCTCCTCCAAGCCTTCCATTATCTTTTTTCCTCCCTTGGAAAAAGTTTTTCCCCACCTACAAGTCCCTCACAACTGTTCTTCCTCTGGCCTTCTTCCTGCAGTGATCCTGATGCAGCTGTCAAGTTGCTAAACAATTATATCTTCTGAACCTTCAATTCCATTGCCTGAAATCTTGGACTGTCTCCAAACCCACCCACTCTCCCTGGCAGAACAGCCACCTCCACTCCCTTAAATCCCAAATCTGTACAGTCGAGCACAGATGGCACAAAACCGGCCTCACAGTTCACCGACAGCTGTGGTTCGAACATTGTCATACCCAACGTCTCTCACTCTCACAAGCCCAGAGTGGTTTTTATTCCTAGGCCATTCTGGATGCCCCAAATAATCCCAAAGTGCTGTTTTCCACCATTCAACAACAACAAATTACATTTGTATAGAGCAAAGAATTCCTAAACAACTTTGTCTTTATCACTCTCGATCCCTCGAACCTTACAAACCATTTCTGGCTTGCATTTCCTTGCTCACCATTAATCCACGAGGTCCAGTGGTCCTCTCTCACCCTTGTTGCCAGGTTCTCCAAACTGACCCTGTGAAACAATTTTACTTAGAATAAGAATAAATTGGCAATGGACACATTGTGGAAAAGACAGTGTCAATAACCTGTAAAATGTTTAGACTAAAAGCATTAACCAGGATGAACCTATAGTGTGCTCAGTTGAGAAAAACTTCCACATTCCACAGTTGAGACTTGTCATAAAAATAATAATTTTTCGCGTCACAAATATATGAGAGGCATCAACAGTGGTGCAGTCTGCAAATTAAGTCATTTCAAAAATATATTCCTTCTTATAATGGGTTAAACAAATAGCAGAAGATAACACTTACATTTGGTCCTTTTCCTCCATCGTTGCCTTTGCTCCCTTTGCGACCTGGAGCCCCAAGTCTACCCTGTCAAATGAATGACATTAAAAATCTCATTAACACTTCATGGCGCAACATTTTGTGGAGTCTCAGCACTGTGCCTGCTTGAAATGGATAGTTTTTTTTAAAAAAATTAGCCTCGGGAGCCTTCAACCTTCTTGGCCAGTTATTAGCAAAAACATAATTCTAATACTAAAAATCTACAGTTAAAAAGCTATTTTGGGGGCTAGAATGCAGAAAGCAAAATCAATTGTACAGTAAACAAAAACAATATTTCAGTTCTTAAAAGGTTAAAGTGAGGACTCGGTATCGGGAAGTGCTAGACATGTTCAGTCTCAAATATCTTGGATGTGCAGGAAATGAGCAAAGAATATGATCCCCAGTATTAGAGAAAAGAGCTATGAACAATGAATAGACAAGCTAGAGCTCTTCACTCTGAGAGAAGACAACTCAGAGAGGATCTCATAGATGTGCATAACATTTTAGACGAGATTTAAAAAGTCAACCCAGAACGATATTTTAGGATGTACCAAGCAGTAGAAGATGACATAGATTTAGGGTTAAATGGCAATATCAGGACAGATACCAAGATGTTTTTCTTTACACAGGTGCAATTAATGACTGGAACAGATTTCTAGGAAGGCTGATTGCGGCCAGGACACTGCATTCATTTAAAAAAAACAGCTTGATGTTATGATGGAAAGCTGGCTGTTCTGGAGGGATAAGATAAGATGGGGTGAAGATCCTTCTTCATCCAGACTAATCTTGGGATCTTGTGAACATGCTGTAAGGGAGCAAGGAGTCTAAATGGCTCCAGGTCTTCACATCGCATAAGATCAACCGGCTTGGGACCAACATCGAAAAGTACTGCATTATCTACAAGTTGTTGACTGCATCTGGGTCATCAACATAAAACACATCATGTAAACAAAACCTTTTGGGGGAGGGGGGAAGCAAATTTACTGCTAAAAGCTGCCCTAGCATGTTCAATGTTTCTATTCTCTCACTAAACTATTCTCAGCAAGTGTAGAAATCAATAATTTGCTTAAGATCATCTTTCAAAGAGGGTGAATAATCTCTAAGGGCATGAGGCACTCACACTGAGTGGATCTATGCCTAACATTGTAATATATCAAATGAATGTACGTGAGGATTTTTATTAATAATAATAATAATCCTTGCATTTGATTTAGCGCTTTTCACGTTGGGAGGACGTCCATGTGGATTCAGGAAATTAGCCAAATGCTTTATTTTCCAAAGATACTACTGACACATAGGACAAGGGTAATGCAGTTAATATAAGTATTTGTATTTTACTAAGGCTATTAATGGCTACGGTTTGGGCAATGGTATATATAACAAACAAACAGAAACCAGAGCGCCACAATAAATGGGAACTTTTCAGATTGGAGGGAGGTTATGAGAGAGAGAAATTCATGGGTTGGATTTAGAGAACTTACTACTTTCAATAAAATACAAGCATAATCTCCCAGTTTCTGGATGACGCTGAAATAAGATGTACAGCAAATAATAATGAAGGAAGCAATCAGATTTTAGATTTAGACTTCTGAATGCTCTCATCTGCTGTTTAATGGGGACAAGTGCAAGATAATTAACTGTGGGATAAAGAAAACAAAAGCAAGATATTCCAACTATATCTGGCAAGTTTTATTAAATAGATAATGGGTTAATTTTTCTATCCATATATTTCCTGTGAAACAGAATGAAATCTATAGGAAATAAGGATATTTCTGCAATTTTCAAACCAAAGCAAATACATCATGTTTGATGTGCGACTGAACAAAATATTTCAGACAATTGTAAACATGTGTTCTTATACTGTATCCTACCAATTCTTTCTTCTATTTTTCAAAAGACATGTCTCAAATGTGCTTCTATGAGTGCATTTATGATCATCAAGCTGTTTGTTACATGCAGCCAGAGATGTGACCTCAGCAACCTGTACCAATAATGCCTCAAGCTGTTAATTATCTTCTAGGCAAGAAATATCTCCAGGCATCTAAACGTTTTCTTCACAACCTGTAACTTCTTGTCCTGATGCCCTCGTGTACCTCAAAATATTCTTCTGGATTTATTTAATCCCATTAGGCATTTTATATACAATAGTACTCTGTTGTAACAAAATAGTTAGCATCCCACCTTGTAACGGGATGTGGTTTCTGGTCAGTGCATTCATAACTTGCATTTATATAACAGTCTTCCCATAGGGTAACATCTCACAGCACTTTACAAGGAAGGAGTTGGACTTTGAGCAGGGGAAAGGGAGAAGGGGAGAGGGCCTAGGTATGTTCAAAGAGGTAGGATCTGAAGCAGGATTTGAAGACTGAAAGATAAAGGGTGAGACAAAGTGGTAGAGGGGGTAAATTCCAGAGGGATTTAGACATGCTTGAAAGCGAGAAGTATCAAAGAATATGAGCAAGGGGCAGGACAGTGCAATTAAACTGTGTGGCTCACTTGGACAAAAACACCAGTGCAGAATTAATGGGCTGAGTGGCTAGTTTCTGTGCTGTCACGTACAACAGGCATGATCCAGCAACCAAGTGGTTTATCAAGATTTAAATGCACTACAAACCTGCACACCTCTGGGTCCTTGTTCTCCTTTAGGGCCTTGCTGTCCAGGGAGTCCCTCTGTGTTCTATAACAGAACAAACATGTTTCACAAATTGCTTGTAAATTTGAAAAAGTTGTTCGTTAAATGTACTAATTTCCACTGCAAAAATTTGAGAGCATGTATTATCCACAGATCTAAAGATGTTTATCTCAATACGTTAATTAGGTAAATTGGTTCCCATTTACAAGTCCCTCAATTTAAATTTAGTGTCAGAGTCATGTGTTTCTAAACTACAATGACAATTTGTATTTGTATAGCACCTTTCACGCAGGATAGTGCCTCAGAGGGTTTAACAATGGTGGACGCCGATACTGAGTCTGGGAGAGGGAAGGTGGCAACATTAGACACAGTCCAAGAGAAAGGTCTTCAGGTGTGAATCTAAGGGGGTCAACAAGGGGAAAGGCAGAAGGATTGGGGGAGAGAGTTCCATAGTTTGGGAGCGTAGTGGTTGAATGCATGGTTGATGGGTGGAGCGGAATGGACAAGGAAGAATGCAGGAGGTTGGAACCGCTGTCATCACACCCCTCCTCAAAAAAATCACCCTCAATCACACTAATCTCTCACACTACCACCCCATTTCCAACCTACGCTTCCTTGTTAAAGTCCTGGAACACATTGTTGCAGGTCAACTTCGGACACACCTCTTCCTCCACTGCCTCCTCGAACCCCTGCAATCTGGTTTTTGCTCTGCCTACAGCACAGAGACAGCGCTTGTCAAAGTCACAAACGACATCCTCACTCTTTGTGACCAGAGATCCCTCTGCCTACTCGTCCTCCTGGATCTCTCTGCCGCATTCGACACAGTGGACCACGCCATCCTTCTCCACCACCTCTCCTCCCTCATCCACCTTAGTGGGACCGCGCTCGCATGGCTCGAGTCCTACTTAACCAACCGCCTCCACTTCATCTCGGCAAATGGTCTCTCGTCCCGCTCCCACTCAGTCGCCTGTGGGGTACCCCAGGGCTCCATCCTTGGTCCCCTTCTTTTCTTCATCTATATGCTCCCTCTTGGTGATGTCATCTGCACACACGGTGCAAACCTTCACATGTATGCGGATGACACACAAATCTACTTTGCCTCCTACAGTACCAACTTCAGGTCCACCAATGTTGTATCAGCTTGTCTGGTGGATGTCAAGGCCTGGATGAGTGTAAACTTGCTGCAGCTGAATGTAGACAAGATAGAAGTCATACTCTTTGGCACCCATCAATGGTTTCACTCCTGCAGGTCTGAACTCCTCAACCTCCCTGGGCTCTCCCTCAGACTCACCAAACCAGCACGCAATCTAGGCGCCCAGTTCGAACCCCAACTATCCTTCCTCCCCCACATCCATTCCCTGACCAGGACCGCCTTCCTCCACCTCCACTACATTGCTCACCTCCGAACGTACCTTACTCCAAATGCAGCCAAAACCCTCGTGCATGAGTTTGTCACCTCCTGCCTGGATTATTCAAACACACTCCTCACTAGTCTACCCAGCTCCACCATTCAAAAAAATTCAGCTCATTCAGAACTCTGCTGCCTGTATACTGACCTGTCCAAATTCCGTACCCACGTCTCACCAGTTCTAGCCAGGCTCCACATCACCAAATGGATTGACTTGCAGATCCTCACACTTGTGTTCAAATCCCTTCACTCTCTGGCACCTCCCTACCTCTCCGACCTCCTCACTCCCAAATCCACCACCCAGCGCCTCCACTTGACTGGCACCGGCCTCCTGCTCGTCCCTTGCATCCTCCGTCCCACCATCGGAGGTCACGGTTTCAGCCACTACGCCCTGAAACTCTGGAATACTCTCCCTCAATCCCTCTGCCTTACCTCCTCTCTCCCCTTTTTCAAGTTCCACCTGAAAACCTTCCTTTTCGACCATACTCATGGTCCCCCCACACCCCCCCACCCTGTTCGGAGTCAGGCTCCGCTACTATTTAAGAGCTCGGAGATGCTACCCTGCATTGAGGGCACTATGTAAGCGCAAGGATGTTGTTGTGAATATATTTGGGATATCCTCCCAACATGAAAGGTTCCGTATAAATGTAAATTGTGTCAAGAGTGTCCAAACCAGATGGAAGGTTCCATCTATGCATGGAAATTTCTCTGTGTCTGGAATGAAATGTGCACTCTTGTTGTATTGGCGCATGGTGGCAACCAAGGCTCTTGGAACCCCAGATTGTGCGTTGGGGTACTGCTGAAGTCTACGCAGTTAAAACCGCATAGCTTACCATTGTCTGGGTAGCTTCCTGTTGCTTGTCCAGCTAGGCCCACCCTACCCATTCAGGATAGAGTGGTGATAGCTAGACAAATTTCACCCCAAACCTTAGTGTTATTTTTTACTTGGAGATAAAGTTGTCCTCCTGAGAAATATTTTGTGACTGTTTTACAGAACAGCAGAGTGTGCCCAAATCAGTTTGGAAAATGCGGGTTCACAGGCATTTATAGGTACTGTTTATTGCTGGTTCCTACCGCTGGGCCTTGAGGTCCTGGATCTCCTTTACGGCCTCTTTCACCAGGCTGGCCATTCTCTCCCTGAGAACAAGACACTAATGTCATTTTATAACTCAAACAGGATACACTTTATCACAATACTGAAAAAATGATTTGGTTGGCAGCATGGTTGGAATGTGGAATTTGCAGCCACGGCCATAGTTGAGGCAGAGTCCATGAATTATTTTAAAAGGGAAATAGACACACTTGAGAATGAGAAATATTAAAGGATATGAAGAGCAAACATTTAGGCTGGGTGGCTCAGGTGGACAAAAAACAGTGCCATTTTGATGGACTGAATGGCCTCTTTCTCTGCTATAACGTACTGCTTGGTAATAATAGTAACAACACTTCTGCTTGATAGAAAAGTAAAATTTGCAGTATTTCTTAACATAGGCCCGCTTTTAATTGGCACAGACTAAGAATGTGCTAAGCAAGAGCTGAAAAATGATTGTTTAACTAATTACTGTTGGCAACGACAACAAATTATATTTGTGAAACGCCTTTCACGTTGGGAGGACATCCAATTCCGAATAAAATCAGGAGACACTGGACATTAAAGAATAAATGGACAAAAGAGGGACAGGCATATTGCATAAACAAGAAAAAGATAAGAAGCAGTTTCAAAGAAAACAAATGTTTGGCTCTAAGAGGGCCAGTTGATCAAGATTAAAAGGACAGCTACGCATGCTGTTCAGAAATGAAGGTTGTAAAAGTTACGAGCAAAATTGAGGTACAAAAAGAAGTAGATATGCAAAACATACACTCAGCCTGCAGAGTTGTCTCAAGGTGGGACAGTGGTGATTGGAGCAATGAAAGAAAATAAAGCACATGGATAGATGAGGAAATATAGAAATTTGGAAGAAGGAGCAGAGAGAAACAGAAGAGGGGCAGAGAAAAGACAAAGAAAGAGCAATAAGAGGAAATGAAACACTGACAACATAGAATTAAAAACAAAAGCAAGGCAAAGTAAAGGACTATGAAGAGAGAAACGCAAACAATGTTAAAAATATTAGAGTGCAACATAAACACAGCAAAACATTTACATAGCACCTTTTCACGTCGGAAGGACGTCTCAAAGCACTCAACACTGCTGGCTGGACATCTGAGCTGGGGGTGGGAGCCGAGGGAGATTGGGTGGGGTCGAATGGGGAAAAGGTTACCAAAAGCGCTGTCCAAGTGTTAGGTCTTGATGTGCCTTGAAAGAGCAGAAGGAAGGATGGAAGGAAGGAGCGAGTTTGAGGGCCTCCAAGAAAGGAGCTTCAAAGATCCGGGGCAAAATAGCAATGGTGGGGCAGATGTAGCTGGGGGGATATGAAGCAAGCTGGAATTTGCTGTGGTTGTGTGGACAGACGTGAGCGGAGTCAGTGAGGGGCTAAGATAACGGAGGGTCTGGGGTACATGAGGAGCAGGAACAGTGAGAGAACGCAGCGCAGGAGCCTTTTTCGAGGCCGGCGGGCGATCGGTGAGTGAAGTCAGGTACGGGAGACTGGGTAACGGCTGGGCTAGGCCCAGAGGAGCTATTGTCAAATCTCCCGACTAAACCAACGGTGAAGTTCCTGGGGTTAAGGAGGTGCTAAGTAGAGTAACCGACAAAGGAAAGCCGATAAATTACTTATTTACACTCGAATATTTAACAGTATAATAAATTAACAATAACAAATTACATTTGTAAAGCGCCTTTCATGTCAGGAGGACGTTCCAAGGCACTGGACAGTCAGGGATTTGGACCCAAGCAGGGTGTTAGGATCAGGAGTGTGGAGGGCAGGCAGGGTAGGGATAGGAGGGTGGCCATATGCAGTCGGTGAGGAGTGTCTTGAGATCGGTCTTGAAACAGACAAGGGAGGGAGCAAGGCGAAGGAACTAAGGGTTGAATGGGAAACATGGAGCAGGTTGGAGCCCCTTAAAGGGCTACTAAACAACTAAACTAAAATAATAAATAAAAAGCAAGGGCATAAATCCTAACCAGTAGCGTTAAGTAAATAAAAGTCAATAAATAAAAATAGAAAATAAATAAGTGCTGTAAAAAAAAATTAAATAAAGAATAGAAAATGGCAGCACAGGGACTGTGTCAAGACTGCAGAATGTGGGGAAATTGTGGGCAGTGAGACTGTCCCAGATGATCACATCTATGGGAATTGTCTTGAGTCACTCTGGCTCAGAGTCTTTGAGTTGCACTGCAGGTTAGAGACACTCCCACTCCTGAAGAGTATCCAAACCAAGATGAGATTTCCATGAATCCCACCTACACATGGAAATCCCAGAGATGGATTGTTGGAATGGAATTCACACTCTCTCCCGGAGAGATGCATCCTGCTTACCTAATTCCAGAAACTATTAGACGCAGAACCAACAACATAGGAAAGAACAGGAAAGGGGTCCTGCTAAGGGAGTATCAGAAGCTAACAGCTAAATTAAATAACAGGACATTGAGATTGGTAATCTCTGGGTTACTACCTGAGCCACATGCAAATTGGCAGAGGGATAAACAGATCAGAAACATAAATGAGCAGTTGAAAGAGTGGTGTGGGATGGAGGAGTTCCATTTTCTGGCACCCAGGTAATAGTACTGGGACAAGAAGCAGCTGTACTGCTGGGATGGGTTACACCTGAACTGGGCTGGGACCAAAGTCCTAGTGGAAAGGATAAATGGAACTGTAGAAAAGGCTTTAAACCAGTAAAAGATGGGGTTGGGTGCAGGGTAGAAATAACAGTAAACTAAAGATAAGGATGGATAAAAGCAAAGGTCAGAGCACAAAAAGTGATAAAGAAAACATACATACTCCGAGAAGAAAAAGGGTTACAGGAAATAAAAAGTATGACATGCCAAAAAGTGTGAGAAAAACACCGTCAGGGCATATAGGCAGGGGGAGGACAGTTACCCAAGTAAGTGTTCTGTATACAAATGTACGTAGCATAAGAAATAAGATAACTTAGAAGTACACATTTAGCTTAAAGGTTATGATGTAGTAGCTATTACAGAGACCTGGCTACAAGTTGGGCATGATTGGGAACTAAATATTTCAGGCTATAAAATCTCTGGAAAGGACATGGAAATTGGGAAAGGAGGAGGTGTAGCAATATTGACAAAATTACAGCAGTAGAAAGAAAGGATTTCAGTGAGGGGGATCAGGCTGTGGAAACACTATGGGTAGAATTAAGGAACAGCAAAGGAGGCAAGACTGGTGGGAGACAGGGTCTGTGGAGATCAGGGAAGCATGCAGCAAAAGCAATGTGGTTATAATGGGTTATAAATGGGTTTAATTTTCACAGACTGGGAACAGCTTAAGTAGGAAAGATAACCAATTTATGGAATGTATTCAGGACAGATTTCTGGAACAATACATTTTAGCATCGACAAGGGAACATGCCATACTAGATTTGGTGATGAGTAACAAACCAAAATTACTTAATAATCTGACTATAAGGGAACATCTTACAAATAGTGACAATTTAACATAAGGTTTGAGAGGGAGAAAGGAGAGTCGCAAACCACGATTTTAAATTTAAGTAAAGCAAACTTCGAAGGGAGGAGAAATCAATTAACTATGGTAAACTGGGCTGAACTGTTAATGGGTAAACCCACAGACATACAGTGGGAAGTACTCAAGCAGATTTGGTACAATACAAAACCAGTACATACCCCTAAAACACAAAAGCTCCACTTGGGATAGTTCAACACTTGGGATGGTCGACAAATGAGGGAAGAGACAGCAAACTTGAAAGCAAAGGCTTACACTAATGCAAGAAAATGAAAATCCAATGGACTGGGAGACTTATAAAAAGCACCAAAGAGATACAATGAAAATAATAAGAGGTGCAAAAAGGGAATGAGAAAAAGAACTTGCAAGGGATATCAAGGGCAACAGTAAAAGTTTTATCAATATATTAAGAGAAAGAGAGTGGTAAAGGGGAATGTGGGCCCATTAAAAACAGATGTAGGTGAGACTAATAGACGATCAGGAAACGGTACGCTTTTTGAATGAATACTTTGTTTCCGTTTTCACAGTAAAGGAAGAGGACAGAATACCAGCGGTACAAGGGAACCTAAAAATAAGCCAAAGAGAAGTACTAAATGGATTAAGTATAAATTTTAAAAATGGAGAAAATAATGGGACTAAAGATAGACAAATCTTCAGGACCTGATGGATTTTGTCTCGGGGTATTAAAAGAAATAGGGGAGGAAATTACAGATGCATTAATCATAATTTTCTAAAGCTCTCCACATTCAGGAATTGTGCCCTTGGATTGCAAAATTAAACGGTAAAGTGACTGAGCTCTGGGACAAGGATGAGCTAATTAAAAATAGTCAGCATGGATTTGTGAAGGGTAGGTCATGTCTGACAAATCTAATTGAATTTTTTGAGGAGGTCACTATCGTAGTGGATAAAAGGGTGTCTATGGATGTCGTCTACAAGGACTTTCAGAAGGCATTTGATAAGGTTCAGCACAAGAAGTTATTAGCAAAAATGAAAGTGCATGGAATTGGAGCTAACCTTACAATGTGCTTGGAAATTGGTTGGGAGGCAGGAAACAGAGAGTAGGGATAAAAGGAATATACACTGATTGACAGGACATGGCAAGTGGTGTTCCCCAAGGGTCTTTACTGGGGCCTTTATATATGACTTAGATGAAGAAATAGAGAGGTTTATATCAAAATTTGTAGCTGACAGAAAGTTAGGAGGAACTTTTTAAGTTGTGTAGATGGGAGCAGGAAGTTACAAAGGGACTTGCACAGATTAAGTGAGTGGGCAAAACTTGGCAGATAGAATTCAATGTGGGTTAGTTCAAGGTCATCCACTATGAATCCAAAAATAACAAAACAGAATATTTTCTAAATGGTGAGAAACTAAGAATTGTGGAGGAGCAAAGGGATTTGGGTGTCCACGTACACAAATCACTAAAAATAAGCTCACGGGTACAAAACATTATTAAAAAGGCTAATGGGTTGTTGGCCTTTATCTCAAGAGGGCTGGAATATAAAGGAGAGAAAATGATGCTTCAAATTTTATAGAGCCTCGAGTCCTACCCCGTCTGGAGCACTGCGTTCAGTTTGGGCACCGCACCTCAGGAAGGTTATATTGGCTTTGGAGGGGGTGCAGCGCAGATTCAACAGAATAATACTACGGTTTAAAGGGTTAAATTATGAGGACAAGTTGCATAAACTTGGTCTCTATTCCCTTGAGTTTAAATGGTTGAGAGGTGATCTGATTGACATTTTTAAACTAATAAAAGGATTCGATGGGGTAGATACAGATAAACTATTTGCTCTAGTGGGGAATCCAGAAGGGGGTATAATCTTAAAATTAGAGCTAGGCCATTTATGAGTGAAATCAGGAGGCAGTTTTTTACCTAAAAGATAGTGGAAATCTGGAACTCTCTGCCCAAAAGGCTGTGGATGATGATCCAGTCACATTTTCCAGACTGAGGTGGAGAGATATTTGTTGGTTCAGCATAACAAGGGATATGGGACAAGGGCAGGTTGCCCCATATCTCTCCCCGCCCCCCCTTGAATCAACTGTGCGGATCACGATCTGGCAGCAGGAACGACCGGTCTCCCAGTGGTGGGGGATGGCTCACTATCTGGCAGCAGCCAGAGCCTGCAGGTGGGAGGATGTGGTTGGTAAGAAGATAAGCTTGCCATCCCCTCAGCTTGGAAGGGACTTCCTGACACACTGCAGCAACTGGCAACAGTACTTCCACTCCTCATGTGTTGGGATGCTGTAATGTGAGGATGGTTTGCTAGGCAGGAAGGGAGCAGGCAGCCCGATGTTGAAAATGGTTGGTATTGGGTCGGATTAAATCATCCCCCGGGCCAGATGCGTATCTTGTTCCCTCTTGAAGACCAATATGGATTTTCCCTCATCTACCGCTCTCGGCAACAACATCAACAACATTATATTTGTATAGCTCCTCTCACATCGGGAGGACATCCCAGGGCATAATATGTATTCAAACAACAACAATAATATCTTGCATTTATGTAGCCCCCTTCACATGGTGTAGCATCTCAGAGCATTTAACTGTAGCAGAGGTTGACGTGATCAGTTGTGGAAGCTTCGGACTGTTGAAACAGAGTAGCTTAGTGCATGACAGAAGGGTAGTGAAGCCTGTAAATGGAGTTCATCCAACAACTGACTACTGAATTTAGATTTGCATTAGAAAATGCTCAACTTTTTTTTAATCACTATTCACTACAGACCAAAGATGTACAATGCCAAATAGCAGTGCGTTCTGGCCATAAAACATAACATTTTGTGGGGTATTGCTGTACCCAAGTTGGCTGCCTTGTTTTCCCACAAAATACAGTGGCTACACTGTACAGTAAATGCTGTGAAGCACCTTGACAGCTTCTCGATGTGAAAAGTGCTATATCAAATGCAAGCATTACAATTAAAAGTAACGTAACATTCACCTTTGGACCTTGCAATCCTCTGTGGCCTTGTGGACCCTGTACAAAGTGAACAGATTAAAGGAATTATTTGTCCTGTGTTGGATACGAGGGAAATCTTTGTGGATTATAGATTATCAATTTGAATAATTATCAAACGTTTCCCAACAATGTTTTCCAGCATGGCATACAGATATTTCAGAAAATTATCATTGCGATACTGAACAATCATTTTTGAATATGGATTTGGTTGACCTGATTGGATTTTAAAATTAAGAACATTAGAAAATATCGTAAACTGCAGAAATTAGTTGTATTATACAGTATCTGATTAAATGTTACAGTGATTCTTACAATGTTTCCAAAACTTCCAGTTTCTCCTTGAATGCCTTCTTTTCCTGGATTACCCTGCAAAAGAAAATTTCTGTATTATCTTTGGTACCTTCTGTTTAGTTTACTGAAAGATGCAAACAAACTTATTAGTACAGGCTATATATTTTATCTATCATACTGATCAGATGATATCTCATTAATTTACAGTAAATAATACTTCAAATTGGCTTCCAACTCTAACCATATATACTTTTATTGTACCATATTTTGATATAAAGATGCCATGACAATTGCAACTTAGATCCATGCTCAAATTCATAGCTGTCACTAAGACCTACAAAGTATGGAGATATGTGTGATGGAGTAATACTGAATCATATGAGCACAGGGGATTTTAGGAAGATCAAGAAAAAAGCACAATTATTCTTTTTTGGTTGATCTCAAGCCCCAATCCCATCTCCTCATGATAAGCCCTCTTTCTTTATAAACAGTCTGGTTAGCCGGCCACCTCTGAATCTCTCAGCCTGGACTCCCTGCGACTATAACACTGTCCCCTCTCCCCACGATGACCGATGCAAGCGGACTGACCATGCCTCGCTGACCTCCAACCCCCCACCGTTTTCTCTTAGTCTCGACATATGCATTTTGGCTGTCGCCACCAACCCGAGCTGCTTCCCCATAATGCTCCCACCTCTGTCCTCTAGCCTCCATTACTCTCGCTCGGTCCTCCTCTCCCACCACCCTCCCCGACTCCTATCCCTGCTCGACCATCCCACAGCCTCCCTCTGCTCCAGCCTACGAATCCTCCATCAGCAGCCACTCTGACTGCCCTATCCCCCATTCTCACCGCAAGGCCCATTGGTCCTGGCCAACCTCTCCTTCCTCATCCACATCTCTACCCTCCCTGTCAGTCCTCCCCATCCCCCACATCACCCCCCACATTCCACCACCAATCGTCTCCTCCGCATCAGTCTACATAATGTCCGCTCCCACTCCAACAAAACACTCATCATTCCAGACTTCGTCGATGAAAACATCAGCATTCTCGCCCTCACTAAAACCTGGATCACTCCAGACGACACCTTCCTCCTGACAGAGGCCACACCACCCAGCTACAACTTCCATCACCCCTCGACCTAACCGCCATGGTGGCAGGGTGGCTCTCATCTCGGCCTATCCCCTTACTCCTCTGGAACCTTCCCCTCCTTTGAGCACCTTATCCTTTATCACCCCGCCAACCTTTCCCTCAAAATTCTCCTGATCTATCGCCCCATCCCCCTCCCGGAGCCCTCCCCCACCTTCATCCCTGACATCTTCACCCTCCTATCTTCCCTCTCCCTCTGTTCCGAACGCCTCCTCATCCTAGGTGACTTCAACCTTCACTTCACCCCCTCCTTCTCTTCCTCTGCTGACTCCTCCTCCCTTATCTCCTCCCTCAACCTCTCCTTCCACATCCACTCCTCCACCCATGTCTGCGGTCACCCCCTCGACCTGGTGATCACTTGGGGCCTCACCATCTCGGACCTCACCATCATCGAAAAACCGATCCCGCACCATCACTTCATCTCCCTTAACTCCTCAATCCCTCTCCCCATTGCCATCCAGCCCACCTCCATCTCCTACCACCCCTGGAAAAAAATCTCCCTCTTGGCTGCCTTGGAGTCATCTGAACTCCTCCCCCCCTGGGCTTTCTCCCACAATGACCTATCCTCCTCGGTCACTCTTCTCCACAGCTCCCTCTTCACCACTCTCAATTCTTTTGCTCCCCTCTCTTCCCAAATTGTCTCCTATTCATGTAAGTCACCATGGTACACCAGCCACCTCCGCTTCCTTAATGCACAGCTGCGTGCCGCACCTCTCTTAAATCAAACTTAATGGTCCATCGGCAGATCCGGCAGGACCTTATCAAATCTTACTGCTCTGTCCTTGCCTCCACTAAATCAGCGTTCTACTCCAAGACAATCTTGGAGGCTAAGGACAACCCCAGGCTCCTCTTCTTCATCACCAACCAGCTCCTCCGCCCACCCTCACACACCTCGCCCATCCTCACCTCCAATGCAACCGTGAGGCAATGCTGGACTTCCTTGAATCCCAAATCAAGGGGATCCGCTCAGCTGCCTCTGCCCTTCCATCTCCTATACCCTCCCCATCTGCCCCTCCCACCCTGGCCCCTACCCATTCCTCCCTCCACACCTTTGAACCTGTCTGCCACTACTCTTTCATCACCACTGTAACCAGAATGAAACCGACCACCTGCTTCCTCGACCTTATCCCTACCCCTCTTCTTACCTCCCAGCTCCAGCTCCACCTCCTTGCCCCTCATCTCACAGACATCATAAACCTCTCCCTGTCCACAACTATTCCCATCCCATTAAAAATAGCCATCATCACTCCTATCCTTAAAAAATCCTCCTTGGACCCATCTCTACTCTCAAACTACCGCCCCATCTCCAACCTCATTTTCCTTTGCAAGTTACTGGAACTCCACAAACGGTTTCTCCTCTAGCCCCCACACCGTCTTGTGTGACATTCCCCAGGGCTCTGTCCTTGGTCCCCTCCTCTTAAATATCTATATTGACATCTGACTGTTCAGTGCTTTGGGACATCCTCCCGACATGAAAGGAGCTCTATAAATGTAATTTTGTTGTTGTTGTTGCTGTATATGCTCCCTCTTGACATAGGGGCAACTTCCACATGTATGCGAATGACACCCAACTGTACCTCTCTGCCTCCACCCTTGACTCCAGGATCACTGCTGTCCTGACAGACTATCTGTTAGACATCAAGTCCTAGATGAGAGTTAATTTTCTTCAGTTGAACGTCAACAAGACCGAGGCTCTCCTGTTTGGTTCCCCTCAGCAACTCCACACCTCAGGCACTGACAGCATCACCATACATGGATGCACACTCCACCTTACTAAGCCAGTCCAGAACATTGGCATATTGTTTGACTCTCAACTATTCTTTCTACCCCACATCTGTGCCATGACCCGCTCTGCCTTCTCCCAAATCTGCAACATCAACCGGCTCCGCCACTTTCTCATACCATAGGCTGCCAAAATTCTCATACATGCTTTCATTACATCGAGCTTTGACTATGCAAACTGCTTGCTTGTCAGCCTCTCCAACCTCCCTCCATAGGTTGCAGATCATCCAAAACTTTGCAAACCGTGCCCTCTTCCGCACCATGGTCCTTGACCCTTTCACCCGCATCCTCGCCTGACTCTACTGGCTTCCCATCAGACAGAGGATACAGTTCAAGATCCCGGTCCTCACCTTCAAAGCCCTCCATAGTCTTGCTCCACCTACCTCTGCGACCTCCTAACCTCCTACCATCCTGCTCGCTCCCTCTGCTTAGTGTGCTCCAGCCTGCTTCACGTCCCTCACCTCGCTCATCCCACTAGGCTCCCACTCTGCTCCCACCCTCTGGAACTCCGTCCCGCAGTCCCTCCACCTCGCCCCTTCCTTGACTCCTTCAAGACCCATCTCAAGATCTTCCTCTTCGACTGTGCTTTCAATCTCCCTCTTCGCCCCCTGCCCTCCACCCTCCCTGATCCTGATCCCCAGCTCGGGTCTGAAACTCTGACTGTCCAGCGCCTTGGGATGTCCTCCCGACGTGAAAGGCACTATACAAATGTAATTTTGCTGTTGTTGTTGTGTTGTAAACTACAGTTGAAACTAATAGCACTGTTTTCCCAATCGCACAATTTACAGAGAGCAACACGTTGCTACACAAATACATTTGAGCATAAAGTTTGTGATAAATACATACCTGTGGACCTGGGACTCCTTCCACACCCTTAGGGCCTGTGACATTATTACTGCTGCCAAATATTCCCTTAAAGAGAAAATATGATGTTTTAAAAATTTGTAATGATATACAGTGAGTGATCCAATTAAATTGACAATTGGCATTGATTCTCAAAATAATCCTTTGATCAAAAACTGGATTTCATTTCAGATAGTTGTCTTAGAATCTCACAAGTATAGAACCTTTTATCTATTCTGTAGACTCTCTGCTCAGTTTCAAACAAGACATGTTTGCATATATTGGATAGCATCAGACATAGGATGATCTTAATGCATACCTTCTACAGTCAAGGGCAGACTGCCACATACATCTGTGATATTACAAAGTATTTGAAGCATACAAAGAGTAATAAGAATGTGGAATACAGTGTTCCATAAAGACACAGCTGAGAAATTAGTTGAGGGATTTAATAAGAGTAATTCTTGCACTTGGTGTAGCACCTCATCATACCATCGCAACGTCTCATAGCCCTTCATAGGATTTAACTGTGTAATGTAGTGAATGCAGCAGCCCATGTGTGCTTAATGTCCCACAGCTTTGAAGTAAATGGCCAATTTTATTTGGAGGATCGTTGGCCAGAACATCGGAAAATCTCCCTTCTTTGTTTGTTTCCCACAACCCTTTCTCATTGCTCCCTCCCTTCCTTCAACGCACGTCTCAAGACCCTCATCTTTGACCACGCCTTCGACCACCCTCCTACCACTACCATCCCTACCCTCCACCCCTCCTGATGCCAATCCCCTGCTCGGGTCCAAATCCCGACGTGAAGGGTACCATACAAATGTAATTTGTTGTCTTTAAATAGTGCCATGGAATCTTTGACATTCACCTAAACAGGCAGACGGGTATTGGTTTAAGGCTGTGGTGGCTTGGCAGGTAAAGCAAGTGAGATCTCGCAGGGAGCACTGAGAGACCAGTGGAGAAGCGGAGCAGATTGAGATCAGCGGGTCTACTGCGAGCATGGGAAAGCAGGCTTGGCGTGAGATCAGCGGAAACGGTGAGCGAGCTGGGCTGGGTATAACTGTCGACTATAGACATTGCGCACGCGTGAAGTATCTGTTGCTATGGGAACCAGGTAGTTTGGTTAGGTAAACTCATAAATTGCCTCATCTGTCAAAAAGTTCACCAGCCACCACTGGTTTAAGGACTCGCTCACAAGGCGTCACCTCCAACAATCTAAGCCACCCCCCCACACTTCCCCCAAGCACTGCACTCGAATGTCAGCATAGACTGCGTTTGAAAGAGAGTACATCCATAATACTTTCGGATAAAAAGAAAATGTGGGATTAAAAGAGTTGTGGCAATGTGAGCAATACATACCAGAGACTATAGCAGAGCAGGCTCTATGGGGCACGTGGCTTTATCTGGTTTCTAATTTCCCATTTCCCAGTGATCACCCATTTAAGTATTTCCTTCATCCACAGACAGATAAGTGTGCTTTACTTACAGGGTCACCACGCAAGCCAAGTTCACCGCGTTCTCCATGATCTCCCTTCGGCCCTTTCTTTCCCTATAATTTACCAATAAAAAGTATTATTTCCTCGAAAAATCTGTGACAGTATTTCTACAGTTGGTGTCAAACTCTAATGAACACTGTGGCTATGGTAAATAATTTCACTGTTTGATTTTACAATAATTGTTGCCAATAATAACAATAATAATCCTTAGATTTGATATAGCGCCTCATAACATTGTTGAGACTTCTCAAAACGCTTCGCAGAATATACCTTAAAATGGATTAATTGTGTTTTGTGGGCGAAACATGGCAGCCATTTGCGTACAGCAGGGTCCCACAAATAATCATTGTTTGAGTTATCAAATTATTGTAATTTTATTTAAGGAATTATTATCCTCCCGGAAAGCGATCTGCCAATTGACTAACAACTGAGTTCCTACTTACTGCTAGGTAAACAGAGGCGTGTGGCGTAAGGAAACTTGCCTAACATTTCACCCTGTCCGGGTATCGCCAATTAAGCAGAGTGGACTTCAAGCAGAGCGATGAGAGTTGGTCTGCTGAGAGTTAGGGCTGAAGAGACTTTAAGACTACAATTTGTCAGAGTAATGGAGTGATGTGGGAGATTCTGGCCTCTTTGAGTGCCAGGGACAACTGTACATATTATTAAGTATGTTAAATTGAGTGCTCTCAAGTTGCTGAGCTTGAGGAGCAACCAATTTAACACACTTAAGATACATGCAGTTGTCCCCAGCACTCGAAGAGGACAGAATCTCCCACATCACTCCATTACTCAGACAAATTGTAGTCCTAACGTCTATAATTTAAATGTGTTAAATTGGCTGCTCCTCAAGCTGAGCTCCTCAAGCTGGGAACATTCATGACATACTGTGGACATTTGTGACATACTGGGGACATTCATGACATACTGGGGACATTTGTGACATACTGGGGACATTTGTGACATACTGGGGACATTTGTGACATACTGGGGACATTTGTGACATTCGTGATGTTGAGGGGGTTCCTGGATCACACAGTCCACCCCAAAGGCAAGCAGACACAGTGAAGAAGGGAAGTGGGTAACCGTTCACGGAGGTCAGAAGGGTGGAGACAGTGCAGAGATCCACTGGAGATATTGTCCTGACAAACAGGTATCAGGCATCACATACCTGTGACAAGGACAACACCTCAACAAAACAGAACCATGAGCAATAGCATGCCACCTTGCAGCAAGTGTCTGCTGTGGGTAAGGAAGTGAAGGACAGGAATTCAGTAATGATAGGAGCATTTCTGATGCTGAAACCCTGAGTTCTGAATGGTCTTTTGCTTTCCCACCATAAGGGATATAACTGTGCAGGGACAGAATATTTTGGAGAGGGAGGAACAGCCATTTGGCAAGCTATACGGTTTTAGCTGGTTAGACTTTAACCCATATTGTGGAGTCCCCAAATCTTGGCTCTTGCCAACCTGCGCCTAATACTTTCCAAAATAAGATAAGCGAGATGCATCACTCCAGGGATAGAGTGTGCATTCTATTCAAACAATCTATCTCTGGAATCTCGGAGTGTAGGTGGGATTCATGGAAATCTCAGTTTGGTTTGGATACTCTTAAACATGGTGATAGGTTTCTGCATGTGTCAGACACCCGGCTGACCAAAAAAAAAGGACATTGAGACAAATTCTGAAGCGGGAATGAGCTGTACGGAGTGGATGGTCTACACCTAAACAAAGTTAGCACCAATGTCCTAGCTGGCAAAATAACCAGGGCTACAGCAGAGCATTTAAACTAATATGGGAGGGAGGAACATGAAGTGATATGGAGGGGAGTGGGACATGCAGAAAACCTCGACTCATGTGCAGTATAACCACCTGCTGGACTGGTTGGGCTGAATGGCCTGCTTTTGTCCTGTACATTCTTTGTAAATATTTGTAAGTAAAAAAACTTCTAATTGAACAATGAACTCAAAACAATAGGATGAATGGCTGACAGACAAGCATTGAATATCCGATTGGTATTAGACAGCAATCATCCTTTCTCTAATTTCATATATCACTTGTAGGCTGAGGCACTTCAGAATTTGTGTGTTTCACTCAGTGAAATATCTATAGTAAAATTGCAATTGCCAGTGTAACAAGCTATAGTCGAACCCAATTAGCATGGTGGTTAGGTCTATAAAATCCGACCCTGTCTTCTTATAGTGTACATTACAGTGACCACTGGTCAGCGTTTCCATGGCGTCAAGTCTCTGACAATATCAGCAAACTGAACGACACACAAGAAGCTAACAAACACTCTCTTTTGAGTGTTTCCAGCATTTGCTGAGAATCCACTGATGCCAGAAGTTTTCTGTGTTTGCGTGCTCTATGCAGAGAGCTGGCCAGTTAGTGCTGGAAACATACTGCACTACAAGCATACTTGGGTTTGTGGTGCACCCACATTGTATACGGATACGATTGTACACTATTGCACTTAAAAAATATTCTAAACTGAACTGTTTACATTCCGGAATATAATTCATTTCATGATTAATCACTGCTAAAGTTAACTTCAGACACAGTTTACATTTGCCTAGAAAAAAATACATAGTCACTACATTTTACAGTAAATTATTACTCAGTCTTGTGGGTTCAAAACCCACATCAGGACTTTGAACTCACAGTCTAGCCTGACACTCCAATATGGGGGTGGGTGTGACAATCTTTGCATTTGATACTGTACTTATAAATTTGATATAAAATATATTTATAAAAATGTGATATAGTTGAGAATGGCTCAAAGCACTTTGCTTGTGCATTTGTAGGACTATTTGACACGTTAGGCAAAACAATTGTGGAAAGTTGTAGTGAATGCATATTTATTGGGCTCATAATGTGATTTGTATAAATTGATAATAAAAGCTTTACCCTATCTCCATCGATTCCTTTTTCACCAGGCATTCCAACAATCCCAACTGTTCCCTGAAACAGAACAATATTGTATCAATATTTGAAACGCATTTGAAAATAGCGTTTTTGAAAAAAATCATAAATGTTTACCTCCTCTCCATTTATTCCATCAATAGCTTGCTCCCCTTCAGAACCCTGTTAGAATAAAAATGATAGGGTACTCATTAAAATTACAAATATCAAACTGAGCAAAATATTGGAAGGATATTGGATATTAAGTATAAATAATGTTTGCTTACCATCTCTCCTGGATAGCCATTTCTCCCCTGAAACAAATTAGTTTGATTGTTAAATTGCAATAATAAATGTAGGAATATTTAAATTATTGATGCATACGAATTTACATGGAACACAGTCTTGCCTTGAAACCTCTGGGACCTTGACATCCCATATTTCCTCGATTTCCAGTAAGACCGGGTGGGCCTCTCTCACCCTGGAAAACAAATTGAGATTAATTTAATTGATATTCTTGAAGTTGCATTAGTATCTGGTGAAACATCGACTTAAGATTCAGTGTTTATAATATAGGCAGACTTTTATTCTCTAAGAGAAAGTTATAAGGATACAGAGGTTATGGTAATCTGCACTATTATATGTGTCTATGATGGCTATTTTGGCTTCTCAGGGCCATGACTGACCGGATGGTCAGAGTTTTGAAATGCTGATGGAACAAGCCATCTTTCTGCAGGCACACACAGTGTATTTCTGCACCTCAAATGTGTCCTTGATTGAGAATCAAAGAACATTACTATGGTAGAGCCCTGCTGGCACACAGTAGTTATGTGTCCATAAAATCACAATCAACACTATCAAGTGATGCGATAGCAGTCAACATTTCTGCATTCACTGTATGTGCGCACAGAAAGATGGCTGGCTCCATCTACATTTCAAAACATTGACCAACTCGCCACAACCAGGTCAGTCAGAGTTCAATTGGTGATTTTTTTTGTTATTTGGCAAGAACCTCTATAAGCTTCATTCCTGTCTCAGTGTATCCTTTTAACTTTAAGTTAAAAATTGTAAGATCATATAGAAACCACAAATTTCAGTCACCTAAGCTAACCATCACCTCGTATACGTCTACAAGTCCATCAATTTTTTTTAAAGTAACCAAACTTACACTTTCACCTCCCGGTCCTTCATTGCCAGGTAATCCCTTAACTTCTGAAGATCCCTAGGAAATAAGAATGTATTTAATGAAAATGTGACACAATTTTTTTTTATTATTTAGAGCACATCAGCATGCACCAAAACCTGCAATGTTAGTTTTGTAGACTTGTATTTTAAGACGCTCCCTGAAAACCAAGCAAACATGTTAACTTAAATGTTCTTTATTCAGCATCAATTTTACCCTGCAATATCACCCTGTACGACAACTATTTTTTTTACTGTCGCCTGATGCCTCTACTAGCTTGGCAGTTATTGCTGGCAAACTATTTAATCATAAAGCACAACACCAGGTCCTTGATCCTATGCTCCCTTCCAGACAACGCCTCTGCATAGATAACAGGAGAGGGAACGCTGATTAAGTTTCCCAGGGGGTCTTGAGACCAGTTGTGTCCGAACTGCTAACCCCAAATGAGATCCGTAAACTCAGCAAAGTCTGGGATTCAAACATCACAAGATTGATTTGCTCATCATCTCATCTGATCTCAACCTTCCAGAATTCCCGGCCTACCGTCCTGCTGTCACAGTATCAAGTTGCCTTAAATGAGCCAGTGTCCTCTTCTTAACTACACTTCCTAGCAACATATGCCATTCTTTAATTACCCTTTGAGTAAAGAACATTCCTGGCATCTGTCCTGAAATGGCCCTTTGCAACTCTAAACCTGTGTTGTTTTGTTCTACTGTACTAGTACATGCTATGTTCTAGTCTGTTTGGCTCAGCATAGCACTGCAACACTGCATTTTATTAAGATAGCAGAAGTACTTAATCTAAACACTAAAATGTTACCAGATTGGTTTTCAGTTTAAGACGCTATATTTAAGAAATTGGATATTGTACCGAGGTTTAGTTAGCATGAATACCTTACCTTTGGCCCTGGAGATCCGTGATCACCACGTCTACCTGGTTCTCCAGTGCATGTGCAAAAGAGATTACAACATTCCCTTCCCGCAATTACATTCTGAAATGAAATGGCAGCTTTAAAACCTTGTGTTAATATTGTAGGTTCTACGAATATGCATTCAAAACAAACACACTGGATGAATTCATGGAAGGATGAACGAGTGTAATGTTTTTTTTCCCCAAAACAACATGAATTCACATCATAAAACTAATTATTAAGATTTACTCTCAAGACTCATCATCTTTCATTAATCTTTCATTGAATCTTTCAGCTTGAGTCAAGATGAAAACCAACAAGAAACTGAGACATTGATATTTTTACTGGTGAGATCACATTGACCAAAAATTTAATCAGAAGGAGATAATATTTGTCAATGATTTGGCCCCAAGGCTGGTAATAATTGTTGACTGCTATTGACCACATTGACAATTATGACCAATGATAACTTAAGATGGGTTTCTTCCACCCCTTCCCCAAAATCAAACACTTCATAAAGAGTATATATTTCAATGGAGGTCCAGGGTTTGACTTTCTACTTGCTGATTCTAGCGTAGGATGGGAAAAAGTTGGGAAAATGGGACTGACAGGATTGCTCTTTAAAAGAGTCAGCACAGACGTGATGGGCTAAATGGCCTTCTTTTGTGCTGTAACATTCTATTATTCTATGATAGAAATTAGCAGAATTTCATACAATCCTCTCTTGCTTTTCTCTGGATCACTTACTATTTGGTTCAGCAAAGAACTTTCAATATCCTGCATTCCAATTGATAGCTGATTTTTGTATTCAAATCCTCTTCCAAACTCAATGAGGGAAATATTGTCGACATCCACTGCATTCTCCAGAGCCACAGTGATAAGTGCATGGACTCCTGTTTACAGAGGGAACATTCATTCATACACCATGAATAATTACATAGAACTGTTATCGAATCGCTTCCACCATCCTTTCAGACAATGCATTCCAAATCCGAACAACTCGCTAATGTGAAAACATTTCTCCTCACCTCCCCTCTGTTTCTTTTAACAACTATTTTAAATCGGTGTCCTCAGGTTACTGACTCACTCGCTAGTGGAAATAGTTTCTCCTTGTTCACCTTATCAAATCCCCTCAGAATTTTGAAAACTTCTATCAAGTGTTCTCTTAACCTTCTCTGCTTCAAGGAGAATAATCCTAGCCTTTCTAGCTTCTCCTCATAACTGAAATCCCTCATTCTTGGTACCATCCTGGTAAATCTCCTTTGCATCCTCTCCAACTCCTTGACATCCTTCCTAAAGTGTGGTGCCCAGAACTGAACACAGTACTCTAGCTGAGGCCTAACCAGTGTTTTATAAAGGTTCATCACAATTTCCTCACTTTTGAATTCTAAGCCCCTGTTTATGAAGCCTGGTATCCCGTATGCTTTTTTAATACCTGCACTCTCTCCAAAGTTATAAGATTCCTTCATGTAGTGTGGCGACCAGAGCTGCACATAGATTTCAAAATAATAATAATCCTTAATAATAATAATCCTTTCATTTGTTATAGCATCTTATTACAGCAGAAGACATCTCAAAATGCTTCACAGGCATTACTGTGAAATGGAGTGCCTCTGTATTTGTAGGCAAATGTGGCAACACAATTGCATACAGCAATGTCCCACTAACAGCCATGAAACAAATAACCAAATTTATTTTGTGGGATTGTTGGCCAGGATACTGGAGATACTCCATTTTCTTTTGGAAAACTGCCATAGGATCTTTAACACTCTACACTTTAACGGCCAGACAGGACCTCGGTTTAACACTTCATCTGAAGGAAGGCACCTCTGACATTGCATTCTCACCTGTGAGTCAGAACATTGTGGGATCAAGCCCCATGTCGGGACTTGGAATCACATAGGTTGGACCACCCTGGCTTAGGCTATTGATTACTGAGGCCTGGACGCTCTATTTGAGAAACTTCCACGGGCTGCATAAGCAATACTTTTGTTTCCCTTCCAGAAACTTAACATAATATTGACACCGCCTTTTTCATGTCAGAAAAATGTTTCAAAACACCTTGATACTGCCGGCAGGGAACCCAACCTGGATGAGAGCTAAGTGAGGTGGGGTAGGTAGGGGAAAAGATGACTGAAAGGGTGGTCATTGAATTATGTCTTGACGTACCTTGGAAGACAGGAAGGAGTGAGGCAGAGGGACTCTGAGAATGGAGCTCCAGAGAGTGGGTGGCAAAATGGCAATGGTGGGGAAGATGGAGTGTGGGGCAAACATGAAGCAAGCCAGTGTTTGTTGGGCAAAGTTAACAGCCGGGGTTGGAGATCGCAGAGGTAGGTTGGGGAGATGGCGATGAATACTGTAGAGAAGTTTCTCAATGGGGAAGAGGAAGTGATGGTAAGGAGACATGCTTGCCTTCCCCTCAGCTCAGGAGGGGCTTCCTGATAGACTATAGCAATGGGCGGCATTATTTCCACACCCCACGCTGTGTCCTCCCAACTGACGGCTCCTGCCACTTCCATGAAAGGATGGTTTACCAGGGAGCGAGGAAGCAGTCGGCCCGAAGTTGGAAATGGTTCTCGGGCCGATTAAATCATCTCCACCAGTTGGATCATCCTGGTCTACGCTGACTCTCCAATGCAGTGCTGGGGATGGGGGTTTACATTGGACTGTTTCTGGGAAATTGCTGTGCACAATTGACTGCCGCATTTCGCCCACAAAATACAATCAATCCACTTTATAGTATATCCTTTGAATCCTTTGAAAATATAACAACAAGTGAGGGGGCAATATTTAAAATTAAAACAGAAAAACGTCAATCCAAAGCCAGCTAAAAAAAAAGTTTCAGCCAGAACCATTTACCAATAACTGTGGGGATTTGAATTGAATGAAGCTGGAGAGAACATTAGCTTGGTGCCATCTTTTTCAATGTAAGATCAACAATGTGTTACAGTTTTAATGGAACATTCCTGCATACAATACAAATTTACATTTGTTTAGCGCCTTTCACATTGGAAGACATCACAAGGCACTTGACAATCCTGGCTTGGCACCCAAGCTGGGGATGGGACCTGAAGGGGGAGGGAGCGGAAAAGATGACTGGAAGCACAGTGAGAGAGGAAGGCCTTGAAATTGACCTTGAAAGAGGTGAGGGAGGGAAAACAATTCAAAGAGATTCCGGGATAGAGTTCGAGAGAATGGGGTTAGTTAGGCTGAAAGCCCAAGCACCAACGATGGTAATGGTAGGGAGGGGGACATCAAGCAGACAGGTATTCACTTGAGGACCTCAGCAGCATTTCTGTTTTTAATATATATATATGTATAAAAAAGGCTGCTATTTTATTTGCTTCATGAATAATAACTTGTGAGGTATAAGAGGGCAGGCAGCCAGTGACCACAGATATAGAAGGAGTCACAGCCTTAAGGAGAAGAGGTTAGAAACCTGGAGAGGAAAAATAAATAAATTATACTTGCCTCCTTTTCTGAGTATTCTTGATGTTTTCTCGAGTCTCTCTAAGTTGTCATCTAAACCATCTGTAAACATCAGCACCACCTACAACAACAACTTGGGACTTAAACAGAGCTTTTCATGCAGAATAATAACATCTTCAAAATGCTGGACAGAATTTATCAGAATTACAAGCTTATTGTTTAATTGGAATAGGACCTTGTGTGTTTGTTGACATATTTATTTCATGCAGACTAAAGAGCAATTTTCCAGGGTCTGATTGTCAGCCCGTGTTAATATGAGCTTGATGGTTTGCACATACAAAAATAATACATCCCATGAAATTGGCTGCGAAAAAGTGAAGTCTGGTGCAGATCAAATTTGTCGTGACCAAGACAGATCATTTGATGGATAAGCCAGATAATCGGAAAACTTGAGATAATAACGTTAAAAGTGCCCTCATCCTATAAGTTTGTTAAAGAGAGTACGCATCTGTTGAAAACAAAAAAGGAGAAATTGTTACCTGTATCTTTCCAGCTGATTCAATGAATTTATTGGAAAATGATGCCAAATAGCCTTCATTTAAATCAATTCTGCTCGTTGTTCGGATACCCTTCAGGTCATCTACATCTTTCCTATTGTATTCTTTCAATTCTGTTTCAAAGATAGCCTCACCAGTATCACTTTGTATATGAAAGCCCACTCTGATTTTTAGGCTGGGATTAGAGGCACAGTTGATTTTATCCACAGACCCAATTCTCTGTAAAATATTCTCTAGTTTTGCTTGTAGGCCATGCTGACCAGTAAATATTTCTTCTCCTATTGGATGTGTGAGATCAAATCCTACAGCAATATTCATGGAGCAATCTGAAAGGCAAAACAAAAGCTTTGTTGAAAAATTGATAATTTGTCAAGACTGTTTATTTAATGTTTTCCCGACCAACACATATATGAAACAAATGTTTACTTCAATGGAGAATGTGTGGGACACGAGTATAAATTGAGATAATTTCACCTAATGAGCAGTGGGTGAAATCATCTTATTTTTATACTGATTCAAACTTCCCAAAAGATCCCTTTGACATGTCCACGGTATTCTTTAACGATGTTAAAGATCCCATGAGAAGGGCAAAAGGAGTTTCTCATGGTGAACTGGCCCAACAATCTTCTAGATAAGTTGGTCACAGTCTTCAACCCTCTAAAAAAAACTTTGCAGCTTACAATTGTCAACACTGGCAAGTTTCTTGCTATTTCCAGCTGGGAGCACCAAACTCACTTGGGCTTTAATTTGTAGGGTTAACTGGAGCTGAATGGGAAGAATTCCTGCCCACAATGATCAATCTACCAATGAGCCAGGCTGACTGGTTCATCATCAACAGCGCCCTGGAGTACTTGATTATCTCAATTATCTTGGAACTACTTTGAGAAGTCTCAACACGAGAGAGGTTATATCAAAGGCAATGATTTGGCATTATTATTTATCATCGACAGGAATAGCCCTGTCCAGTAGATTCTTCTGCATTGCCTATCACACAAAAGAAAACTCTTCCCCAAAATACATTGTAGAGGCAGAATCAACAGTGACGTTTGTCCCCGAGCCAGACTAATAATGTGGGAGTAGAGATATTAAGGGATAGAGTGAAAGGTTGGGGAAATGGATCAAAATTTGGCCGAGGTCTGTAAATATCTAATGAAAGGCTTAATGGGCCGAATAACCTCTTGCTTTCTTATATTCCTATACGTGGCATTTTTTCACCTATAATAGGTGTTCAACCTAATGCCTCATGAGGCCCTCATGATGAAACTGGAAGTTGTGGGAGTACATGGCCAAATCTTTTATCCGGAATGTGTACTCCAGCTCCAAGATCTGTGTAAGGGTCGACGGTGGACTCATGAACCAATCTCTCTGGAAAGTAGGATAAGGCAAGGCTCCCCATTGTCAACCACTCGATGGTTCTTCAACATTGTGTTGGATAACATCGAGGGGGAAGGACTAGGTGTATCTGTTCCAGGCCTCTCTAACAGGATTGTGCAATTTCTGTTCGCAGATGATATTGTGCTGCTGGTGGACTCACCTGGGACCTTCTGCGCTGGACTTAAAGAGCCAACTGGTAGGACATGATGGTGGATGCCCCCAAGTGTATAAACATGGTTCTGCACGACCCAAGAGAAGACATCGAGGGAATTGATTGGAATATATAAGGGACATTTGTCCCAATTGTTGACTCTTATCGGTACCTCGGGGTCATGGTGGACACCAACTCCAGCCTGGACACTGTCCTGAAGGACAGTGCTGAGAAGGGATGAAGGGCACTCTGGTCATACTAGTTTCTCTTCAAGGACAGCAAGCTCCCAATGCAGATCAAGCTTGTGAGATTCAAGCCCTGTGTGCAAATAATCCTCTTTTATGGATCCTAGCTCCTGGGGATGCAGCGGAGAGGCTTCCTTCGGCCCATTTGCAAAGTCCAGGATCAAGCAGTGATGTGGATTGTTGGCAAACATGGGAAGTGGCTAGACTGAGGGAGGACACTGGCCTGCAATGATCTATCACTAAGCACCCTGGAGGCGGATCCTACTTTGCAGAGGAGTCACTGGGGGTGGCAAGTCCTCCGCCTGAGCTCTTCTTCACCCTGCAAGCCAAAACTCTAAAGGATAGGGTGTTCCTACCTGGACAACTGGTGGGAAAGCTTGCCAGACAGTGCTGTCAATGGAAAGCTATGCAGCTTTAGCTGGCTAGACTCCAACAGTACCCCAATGCAAACACTGGGGTCGTGCTCTTGGCTCTTGCTAACCTACCCTAAAACTTACCGGAATTAGGTAAGCGGGATGCATCCCTCCAGGGAGAGAGTGCGCATTCCATTCCAACAATCTGTCTCTGGGATTTCCATGTATAGGGGAGGTGCATGGAATTCTCAGTTTGGTTTGGATACTCTTAAGCATGGTGCTGGATTTCCGCATATGTCAGATACTCAGTTAACCCCCCAAAGTAGTAAGTTTCTATACAAATGTGAATTGCATTGTGTAATATTTCTAGCAGTATGATTAATTGCCACTTGCCTTTTGAGGAGCAAGCACAGATACTACGGGTAACTCTTCTTTTAATGTTATTTAAGTCAGCAAAATTCTTGATACTATATTTTCTGTTTGCATCTCCAGCAATTTGTATCAGTTCACTATCAACTGCTTCTCCAACTCCAATGGCAAAAACGTTAACCTGTTGTCGCCTCAAACCATTTGCTGGGGCAACGACACTGTCTTGTGATTGTCCATCTGTGATCACAAGAAGGTACTGGGGTACTCCTTCGTTCTTTCGACATCCTTCAGTTGGTTCAAAGAAATCATTCACACTTGTCAGGGCCCTTCCAGTGTTAGTTCCTCCTCCCAGCTGATTCATTTTGTCAATACCGTCGTAAAGTTTACTTTGGTCTTTCAGGTAAATTTCTGGGTGTAGGTCCACACTGTACTGGCCCAATGCAAACTGGACTTTTCCTTCACCAGTGTCAAACATTGTTATCACGTTTTTCAAGAATTCCTTTATAAGTTGGAAGTCATCTGTTTGAACACTTCCCGAACCGTCGATTAGAAAAACAATGTCTGCTTTTTCAACCTCACAGTCTGGAAAATAAAAGCATAAACCATAATACTTGCAGTAAAACAATATTCTATGTAGAATGTTTTTAAATGTATAAATGCATTGTTTTGTTGTAGTCATAAAGCTAGCAGTAAACACTGTGAAACACTTTGAGACATCTCAACAATGTGAGTATCTAGATCAAATGCAAGGAATATTATTATAATACTTTTAAACATTAATGTCCTCTTGAATGTGACCTATTACAGGTATGAGCTTTGATTTGAAATGGTTTGATTTTTTTTCCAATAGGACTGTGAAAGCTGATCCAAGATGTACATCTCAAATCACTTAGATGTGCATCACATCCAGACAACAGTACCGCAATGTATCCCACAGCATCTGAACATTGCAGTATTTTGTTCAGAAGCACACAGCCGCATCTTTGCTATCTCAAAGATTTGCCCATTTTTATTTTTAAACTCCAGGACATTCACACAAATTTTACACAAACCATCTGCTCCCCAGTTGGCTGCAACTAGCAGTTTTAAAGGATAAAACACAACAAATGATGACTGATGGGTCTATTATGCTTTGATTGCTATTCACTGCAAATATTGTGCCAAATCAACAAGAACAACAACAACAACAACAAGATTCCATTTATAAAGCGCCTTTCACGTCAGGAGGACGTCCCAAGGCGCTGCACAGTTGGGTCATGACCCGAGCAGGGGGAAATGGTCAGGGTGAGGGGAGGGAAGGGAGGGAGCGAGGAGGGGAAGAGAGTCGAGAGGGGAGCTGAAGGCACGGTCAAAGAGAAAGGTTTTGAGACCGGCCTTGAAGGAGGAAAGGGAGAAGCAAGGCGAAGGCACTGGGGGATGGAGTTCCAGAGCCTGGGGGCTGAGAGGCTGAAGGCCCGACCACCGATGGTAGGGCGGTTGGGGCGGGGGACGTGGAGCAGACCGGAGCCAGAGGAACGGAGGGTACGGGCAGGTAGGTAGGGGGATAGTAGGTTGGAGAGGTAGGAGGGAGCAAGGCCGTGAATGGCCTTGTAGGTGAAGAAAGACAGTATAAATTGGTTTTGAGACAAGTCAATTTCTAATTGGAGACCATTTGCTAAAATCACATTCAGGGGATTGTTTTATCAATATATCACTTTGCAACATTGTGGTACAACACAAAAGTGCACATTTAATGACAGTTTGTTGATGCTTAAAAATGGTCCCTTAATTTGTAATGCTATTCAAAAGCCTGTCATATACCTATTAGAGGGGTTCTGTGCAAGGGACCAGTGACACAGATGAAAAAACCTAATGGATTGCAGCCAGATTCAGAACAGGTAGATCTTGTCTGACCAAGCTCAAAGGTATGTTTGAGGAGGTGACATCTCAAATTGACTCTGGAAAGCCACAGGACACATTGTGCCTAGACTTCAAAAGTACAATTCGCAAAGTATCACACAAAAGACTCCTTCTCTGACTGTTGTTACTGCATATCAAGACAAGGATATTAGATATAAACTGCCTGAAGGGAATGAAGTAGAGAGTAATCATCAAGGGAGCTAGGGCAAAAATGGGGTAATATATCATGCAGGGTGCCTCGAGGGTGTGTACTGGGACTCGCTAGCTCCCCTCTCGACTCTCTACCCCTCTCCTCGCTCCCTCCCTCCCTTCCCTCCCCTCACCCTGACCATTTCCCCCCTGCTCGGGTCCCGACCCAACTGTCCAGCGCCTTGGGACGTCCTCCCGACGTGAAAGGTGCTCTATAAATGAAATATTGTTGTTGTTGTGTATACATTATTGTTCCTCACAATCAGTCTCTGACTAAAACTGCTCTACTTTACCTTCATCACATTGCGCATCTACACACATGAAATGCTGCTGAAACCCTCACTGATGCCTTTCTTAACTCCCAACTAGACTTTTCAAATACATTGCTCTGAACCTGAACTCCAGGTAATGGCTCCTTATTTCCACCATTCATAATCTCCACCTGATCCAAAACTCAACTGCCCAAATCCTCACCCGTACCAAACTTTGCATGTCTATCACCCCAGGCTTCACCAGGCTGCACTGGCTCCCTCTCTCCCAGTGGATCAACTTCAAAGTCTTCAGCCTTACCAATGAATTGCACATGCCCTAGCACTGCCCTACCTCTCTTATCTTCTCCTGTTCTACTGCTTCCTAATTCTGCTCATCAAACTCAAACCTGCTGTGTGTACATTCGCCTTGCGCTCCACCTTCCCCCCATCCCACCATTGGTGGCCTAGCCTTTAACTCCTACAACAATTTACACTTATATAGTGCCTTTCAAGTCAGGAGAATGTTTCAAAGTGCTTCATGCCTGACTGGATACCCTTGCTGGATGGGGGAAGCTGAAAAAGATGGGGGTGAGAAATATGACTGAAAGTACAGTCGAGGAGATGGGTCTCGAGACAAGCTTTAACAATGGCGAGAGATGAGACAAGGCTGAATGGTTGAAAGTTCAACAACTAATGGTGAGGAAGATCGGGCAAAGGACATGAAACAGGCCGGTGTTCATTGAGTGGAAGGAGCGTCCGTGTTGGTAGGGTTACAGGAGGTAGCAGAGTGATTTGAAATCAGCCCTACTATTAAAAATGCAAAATCTATAATGTATTACTTATGTGAAATTACTGCAACCCTTTACTGAAGATTATTCTTCAATCTCAATGGTATAGAAGAATGCAGTGATGTATGCTGGTAACTATTAGTGCAATGGTCAGAACTTCCAGCCCTAATGTTCTGCCTCCAGTGGGGGTGAGGGCGGAGTGGGGTGGGAGTTGGGGGAGAGAAAAGGTTTTGCATCATTGTGGTACAACACAAATGGTACATATTCGATGACACTTTTTGTCCAATTGTTAATTATAAAATGATTTCATCAATGAGATGATCAAGTTGCATTGTTCATCTCATGTTTATTGATGCAATTTGTTACAATGCTCTGAACTCAACTCCATTGTTTGCTCAGAGTCACATATGGCATTCCCTATAAATATGATGGTAGAGGCTATTTTTAGTTCCCATTTCATATTTATATACAATTGTCAACATATTGGCTAAATCAAATAACTTACCAAGGTTACTTGCATCGCAAATCAACTGAGAAATGTTTGGGGTTAAATATCTCAGGTTATCATAACGTGGAACATAAAAGTATTTATCCGATCCGGCAATTAGGTTGAGCTCTTTTAAATCAGCACCAGCAACACCGATAGCATAGATACTAACACCGTGGTCTCGGATGGATTGAGCTGTAGTTTCTAGAACAGCATTATCTGCAGCCTTTTCATGAGTGATAAGTATAAGAATCTGTGGCACTTTGCCTGAATTTCGACCATTATATTCTGGAGCTAGAAGTTTTTTGGCATGATTGAGAGCCTTGCTCGTGTAAGTTTGTCCTTTCGTCAAATTTCCTATTGCGTTGATTTCATTTTGGACTTCAGCTTTGCTCTTCAGTTCATTCAGGTGGAAAATGGTGTGAGGATTGGTGTCATACAGTACGGCTCCAAACCGAACATTGCTCATGCCAACATCAGAACTATTCACCAATGCCACCATAAATGTTTTCACGAATTGAAACTGTTCCTTGTTTATATTAAATGATCCATCTATTACGAATATAATGTCTGCGATTTCTGCCCTTCCACAATCTGTAAATAAAAGCACAAATATCATACAAGTTGAAAGGAAAAAGACAGACATGTCATCCCTCTCCTCCCAATCCTGTTTCAAAGCATTGCCAGTGTTGAAATTATACTTTCTGCAGTCGGAAGCCTAACTATTTTTATAATGTGTGTTTTCTCTCGCTTTCTCTTCATCTCTGTTCCATCAGATTCCATTAAAATACAGAAACCTCACCTTGTTCCATGTAGATGTGACTTGATCCCACACATTTGTAAATTATGTCCTATAAGTAAGCACCTAAACCGTAATATATCTCCCGGTCTCAGCCATAAGAATATTGTTGTACAATTCACTTTCATTAAGAATGTTGGCATATTCTTACACTCTTAGCTATCAACAACAACTTGGATTTATCTAGCATCCTTCATGCAGGTAGCATCTCTAGCTGGTAGTTTTCCTCATTTCTTTCTAAGTACTGCAATGAAACAGCTTCCAGATCAACACTGAAATTAAAATAATTAAAAATTCTGGCTAATCTTAAATTTTAAGATTGGCTAAGGCTAAGAGAAATTTTAAACCTTTGAAACAAATGGTGATGATTAATCTTCCCACAGTTATAGTTTCCCCTTCTTCTCTATAAGCAACTATGTGGAATCCTATAACTCAGTGGTTAGAGCACTCGCCTCGCAAGCGAGTTTGATTTCTGGGTTTGATTTCTGGCAGGGCGAAACCTTGCGTAAGTTTCCTTACTCCACACCCCTGATAATAATCACTCAAGAAGAAAAAAAAAATTGGTCATTTCAATCCACTACTGTTTGTGGGACACGCTGTGCGCAATTGGCTGCCGCATTTCGCCCACAAAGATACAGTCAATTCACTTTACAGTATATTCTGTGAAGCACTTTGAGACGTCTATATCAGATGCAAGGGTTATTATTTTGCATCACCAATAGCCAAACTGGCGCTATTTTTGTACATTAGCTATTAATGACAAGAGGGCCATCTTGGCTCAGTTGCCAGCACTCTCTCTTCTGAGTTACAATGTTTGGGGTTTAAACCCAGAAATATGACGACTGATCAACTGGCATGTTTCATTTTCGGTTGGACTGAAATTAAATGTGCCAGTTGATTGGTCTGTGTTACACATTCTAGGATGTATATATTTTTTGGGTCGCATTTTTAAAAATCCAACACGATCTCTGCTCCAGAATATTTTTGCTCTTAGACTGTTGAGCTTTCCCCATAGACCCGAAAATGGACCTAACACCCCCAACTGTACAGAGAAAACCTGTAGACGTGGCAGGTGTGAAAATGATGGTTGGAAAGTCAGGGGGCAGAGCTTCCACCTACTGGCTGATTAGTGATTATATAACGTTTCATCTGAATCTTTTACTGGTGTTCGCAGTTTCACACACTGCAAGGTGTAGCATTAGTTAACACTGGTATTACTTTACACCAACACTAATTAAAGAATACCACAAACTTTATTCCAGTCTTTTCCTTTTTGTTTTAAGCAACATGATGCAGACTGCTCTGATAGCAAACAGGTGGAGAGAGGAATGTGCTGCCACAGCCAGCCATTTAGCATTAAACTTAAAACAATCGCAATTCATAATGACCTCCATGATATTATACAGCGATAATTATTGCATCCAAAGTATTATGAACCACTTGTAATTTTCTTACCCATTTCAATAAATTATCACGAGAATTATTATCTATAACAGATGTACAAGCCAGATAATTATCTTTAATTCTTAAAACAATTTTTTCCTACCTTTGTGTGAATCGCAAATCTTGCTTAAAATGTCTGTTTTCACTTGTTCCAGAGCATCATATTCTTCAATGAAATGCACTTGATCATCAGATCCTGCGATCTCACGAAGCTGCTCCCAAGGAGATTCGGCGACACCAATGGCAAAAGTAATGATTCCTTTATCTCTTAAAGCTGTAGCAGGTGCAACAACCGAATCCGATGAATATCCATCTGTAACCACTATGAGGTACTGTGGAACACTTAGTCGACCTCCTTTTGATCCATCAAAGTAATCTGCAGTAAATGTCAGGGCACGACCGATTTCGGTTCCCCCTTTCAAATGGTCCATTGTATTTATGCCTTGTATTAAGTCAGGTTGTGTAGAATACTCATTAAGCTTGAAGACCAGTGTAGGTTGACTTGCAAACTTTATTACACCAATTTGAACTTTATCTAATCCAATGTTGGTCTTATTCACAAAAGAGATCATGAAATGTTTTATTTTTGGAAAATCTTCATCTTTTATACTTCCTGATTCATCAATTAGGAAAATGATGTCAGCCTTGTCCAGTTTACTGCAGGCTAAAAGAAAGGAAAAGTATACATTATAATAAAGGCACCACATTATTGCACGATGAGCCCGGATCGCCACACTTTCAAATAGCATTCTCCTGCTTTTTCTCAGTGGAATAATAGAAGGAATGGAAAATGAACTGAACAAAAGACTGAATAGAGATAGTAGGTGAGAGAATTAGTGCACTAATGCAATTTTTATAATGCACAAACTGTGCAAATGTGCAAATCTCACTGCCTACCACAGGCTACCGAAACCCTCATACATGCCTTCATTACACTGAGGCTCGAATATGCAAACTCATTGCTTGTTGGCCTCCCCAACTCCTCCCTCTACAGGCTGCAGATGATCCAGAATGCTCCTTGACCCTACCACCCCCGCCCTTGCCCAACTCCACTGGCTTCCTATCACACAGAGGATTCAGTTCAAGATCCTGGTCCTCACCTTCAAAGCCCTCCACGGTCTTGCTCGCCCCTACCTCTCTGACCTCCTAACCCTCCACCAACCTCTTCGCTCCCTCCGTTCTGCGGGCTCCAGCCTGCTTCGCGTCCCCTGCCTATTGGTGGGTGGGACCCGCCACTCTGCCCCCACCATCTGGAACTCAATTCCGCAGTCCCTCCGCCTTGTCCCCTCCCTTGCCACCTTCAAGACTTACCCGAAGACCCTCCTCTTCGACCGTGCTTTCGATCTCCCTGCTTGCCTCCGCTGCCCTCCACCCTCCCCCACCCTGAGCCCCAGCTTGGGTCCATAACTCTGTCTGTCCAGCACCTTGGGACGTCCTCCCGACGTGAAAGCTGCTATACAAATGTAATTTGGTTGTTGTTGTTGCCTGCAAGTAGTGCTCTGGATGATGCAAAAATTAAGGAATGGAGTGTATGCGTGTGCATGAAAACATATGCAAGGTACATTGCTTAATGAGGTCTTGAATGTTTGACAAAATAGGCCATGTTTTTGATTATTGAAGGGCGAATGGTGATACAGGCCAACAGACTGATGGAATTTCACATAGATGACTTTACCTCTCAATTTTCTAACCTATCACTTCTTTAATGAAGGTAAGTGGTGGGGTAAAGTTCCACAGTCACCAGCTGGCATTGCGTGCTTCACCCGTGTATCCAGGATTGGCCATTGGTATACTCAGGTGAGTTCTAATTATATTTGCCATTGTGTTATACTAACGCTGATCCTAAGTGCAATATAGGGGTCAGGTTCCTCCACGTGATTTTTAAGCCAATAGTTATGTCCTGATTTCCTGCACACGCCCCAGATTCTTCTCAAATATATAACTTTCTTTTCCCCCCGAGCTTCCTGCTTCTCTTCTGAGAAGATGGGAAATTGAGTGGGTAGAAGATCACCTCCAGTTTTCAGCCATGGCAGGTTCTGTGCTTGAAGTACCATCACTGTCGCTTTGTCATTGTAATAATTGCGGACCAATGCTAAATATTGTGTGGAGGATTACATTGAATGGTTCTCTTGGCTCTACAGCTAAAGTTTCTCAGCAAGAATTGGCATGAAGCCAAAAGACTCTTTGATGCACCCCTTATGAATAGCTGGTGATAATGATTAAAACTTTAGGCGAATCTTCAAGCAGTGAGCAAAGCAATCTCATAATTAAGCACTATTGAAGTTATAAACTGCGAGTAAAATAATGAAAATGGGTAGAACTACAAAAACAGTCAAAGCAAATGAAAAATTATTTTTACACCATTTTTAAAAAAAAATAAAACAAAGTACACCTCATCCACAGTCAGTCCTGCCCTGCTGAGGAATGGACTCAGGTTATTATTAATGTCTGCAGTGGCCCACGCACTCATATTTCCTTGGGGAAAGGGCAAGGAGTGGGGTGGGAGTGGGGGCGGGAAGTCTCCTGGGGGCTGAGGTGGCTCCAATGTAATATGCTTGGCAACAAAATGTTGAAATCAAGTCAATCCTCTGTGGTGGTCTCAGTAGTCTGGTTTCTGAGACCTGTGGGTCCAAAGTACAGTTGGAGATAGACTAACAAGCCTGGCTCATTGGCAGGACGTGGATTGTGGATTGGTAGACTAACCAGTGAGAGCAGAAAATTCTTCCCACTCTACTTTTGTTATCTCTATGCTATTGGGTAGAATGGTTCTATATGGACAGGTAGTGGGAAGCTTGGCAGACAATCCTCTCGATGGCAGATTTAGCTGTTTGAAATCCGGGGGTCCCAGAGTGTGTGTTGGGTACTGATGGACTTCAAACATCTAAATCTGCCATTGAGAGCATTGTCAAGACTGGCTCTCAAGACTCTGCACCTAATGCTCTCCAGGATTAGGTAAGCAGGGTGGGTCCCTATGAGGGAGAAAGTGTGCATTACATACCAAACAAAGGGAAATACCCAAGTGCATTTAATAATAATAATCCTTGCATTTGATATAGTGCCTAGTCACATCTTCGAGACATTTCAAAGCACTTCACAGAATATACTGTAAAGTGAATTGACTGTATATTTTGTGAGTAAAACGCAGCAGCCAATTGCTTACAGCAGTGTCCCACAAACAATCGTGGATTGAAGTGACCAATATGTAATTTTTAAAATTATTATTTTGTTCAAGGAATTATTACCCCTGGACAAGCAATCCACTAATCGACTAACAAACGGGTTCCTACTTACTGCTAGGTAAATAGAGGCATGTGGAGTAAGAAAACTTGCCCAACATGTCGCCCTGCCGGGAATCAAACCCAGGTCGCTTGTTTGCAAGGCGAGCACTCGAACCACTGAGCTACAGGACTCCACATCAACAACAACAACACGATTCCATTTATAGAGCGCCTTTCACATCGGGAGGACGTCCCAAGGCGCTGTACAGTTGGGTCAGGACCCGAGCATCGGGGGGAAATGGTCAGGGTGAGGGGAGGGAAGGGAGGGAGCGAGGAGGGGATAGAGAGTTGAGAGGGGAGCTGAAGGCACGGTCAAAGAGAAAGGTCTTGAGACCGGCCTTGAAGGAGGAAAGGGAGGAGGCGGCGAAGGCACTGGGGGATAGAGCTCCAGAGCCTCGAGGCTGAGAGGCTGAAGGCCCGGCCACCGATTGTAGGGCGGTTGGGGCGGGGGATGTGGAGCAGACCGGAGCCAGAGGAACGGAGGGTACGGGCAGGTAAGTAGGGGGATAGTAGGTCAGAGAGGTAGGAGGGAGCAAGGCCGTGGATGGCCTTGTAGGTGAGGATGAGGATCTTGAATTTGATCCTCTGGGGGATAGGGAGCCAGATGTTTTTGGCATACATATGTGAAATCCTCAGTTAGGTTTGGATACTCGTAAGTATGATGATTCAATTTCTGCATATGACAAGACACGCGGTTGACCAAATAAAATTCAAGAAAGTTGATCGCTTTGAGTTAATATTATCATCTAACCTTCTTTGGAACAGATGTCCTGCACGATCTGGGGTTTCAAATCTTTCAGGATATCAAAATTAGTTATGTTGAATACTCTTTCGGGAGCATCTCCAATCTCGTTTAGTTGAGTGATGTTTATATTACCCACACCTACAGCGTACATAACAATTCCTTCTTTTCTTAATTCTTCAGCAGGATACTTTACATTATCATGTGCCTCTCCATCTGTAACAATGATCAGGAAGCGTCGTACTCTACTGTTGCGACTTTTTTCTGCTTCACTGAAGAGATTTTTCATGTACTTCAGTGCTCTTCCTGTATAAGTATCTCCCCCAGCTTGTGTAATTTGACCAATTGCCGACTCCACCTTTGTGACACTGGTATATTCAGTGGCGGTAAATGCTGTTCGTGGTGCATTGCATACATGGCAACGCTAGTCCGGACCTTTTTTGGTCCAATATGGAATGTCTTCACTATGTCATTCATGAATGTTTTGATGTAAATGAAGTCAGCAGGTTGTATACTGGATGATTCATCAATCAGGAAAAAGATGTCGGCTTCTTCAGTCTCTGCACAGCCTGAAGAGAAAAAGTGACATGGCTTCAATCACTGAAATCAACCATCTGCATACCATCTTATCTCACATTGCAACAAGCTCTTTCTTTAAAATCCATTATTTCTGACAGAGGGTAAAAATAAAAAAGTTCAAATAAACAAATAAAAGAAATTTATCTGGGCATCATGGAGCCCAAGGTTGAATTCAGGCTATCTGGCTTAATAAGTGGAAAAAAATAAGCCAAGTCTCTGCTTCTGATCACAATATAGGGATCCTTCCAGTAAAGTGCTAGTGTAGACATAAAAGAATAGGATCAGGTTTTCCTGTAGTGCCTACGTGTTGGAAATAACTGAGCCGATAGGATGGGGGAGGTGACTGTAAGCACGTAAGTAAGAAGAGGAAGATCTTCAGGCATGAGTTGAAGATGGGGAAGGAGGGTAGCAAGCCGGAGGGATTGAGGGAGAGTGTTCCAAAGCTTCAGGGCGTAGCAGCTGAAAGCATGACCACTGATGGTGAGATGGAAGGCACAAGGGACAAGCAGGAGGCCGGAGCCAGTCAGTAGAGGCAAAGGGCGGTGGGTTGGGGAGTAAGCAGGTTGGAGAGGTAGGGAGGTTTCAGGGCATGAAGGTATTTTGAAGACTAGTGCGAGGAGCTTGAAATCGATCCGTTCGGTAATAGTGAACCAGTGAAGCCTGGCAAGAACTGGTGATGGGGGTACGGAGTTTAGTGTGAGCGAATATGTGGGTGGCGGAGTTTTTGATTAACTGGATCTTGTGCATTATGGAGCTGGGGAGACCAGTGAGGAAGGCATTTGAGTAGAAAAACAGGAGGGGAGGGACTTCCAAATTTACATTTATATAGAGTCCTTCAAGGACATCCCAAGGCTCTTTAAATACAGTATTTATAGTTATTTGTTGTAATAGAGTCATGATTACATTGTTTTAGTACATTTAATAGCTTTATTACTAACGTATTCAGATAGTCACTATAATGTCACTAAAAATGAGATGAAAATGTGTTTTTTAAGAAAAGAAATTTGATCAGCCAGGGAAGATTGGAATTTTTAAGTGTAAAACATTTAAATTTCTTTCTCAGATATCTTTTATTTATTTCAATTTGTTTATTTACTTATTCCTTTTAATTGCGTCAGTGTATTTTGTCTCAGTTATCATCCAGGCATGTCACCGGACGTCAGATTAGGTTAGGTACACAATTCAGTGTTAACACTCCAGTATAATGATAATAATAATCCTTGCATTTGATATAGCACCTTATCACATCATCGAGAATATACTGTTGTAAAGTGGATTCACTGTGTATTCTGTGGGCAAAACGTGGTAGCCAGTTGCCCACAACAATGTCCCACATTATCATGGAATAAGTGACCAATTTTATTTGGGGGATTGTTAGCCAGGACACCTGGAGAAATTCCCTTCACTTTTCAAATAGTGCCATGGGATCTTTAATGTCTACCTGAACAGGTCGATGGAGCCTCAGTTAATCTCTCATCCGAAGGACAGATGAGAATAACTAGCATCACAATTCAGAAATCTATTCATAAACCTGTTAAAAAGTTACTTGGAGGAGCGCAGATGGTTTAAATTGTGAAATCAGAGCTGAGATTATAATTAATGTCACTCCATTAATGAAGAGATTTACATTTCATTCGCTTCCCCCTCCTTCCAATCTCCTCCATCACCTCCCCCAACCCACCCCCCCCCCCCCCCCCCCCCGCCACTAGCGCCATAAAATTCACTTTACACAATCTCACAAGTAATATTTGGACAGAAATCTTGTCCATGTCAGGACTGGGACCTGTTAACCACAAAGGAAGCAAGTTGCGTTCTAGGTTTCAATCTTCCCGGACTCTACAATCTTTTATTGCTCATACCACACAGGACATTAAAGTTAAACCATTTTTAAGTTCACTTGTTTACTGTTAATGTTACTAAACAGGTAACTATGCCAATCATTGTTATGCTTTCATTAAACTAGCGTAATTTCGTTAAACAATCGAGTACAAGGAATAAATTATAACTGTTAAGTCTGAGAGTCTGCAAATTTTCTTATAAACCATTCAGTCAAAGAAATGTAGATGTCATTAAATATACAAACCGCACCTTCTTTAAGCTTTGCACTTTGTTGAGGTATAATGGAAATCCTTTTGATGATTTCATAGCAAAGTTTCTTCTGGAATTCCTCCTTAATTTTGTCTAACAATTCAAACTGTCTACGCGGGAGACAAATCTGCGTAATGGATGAGAGGCAATATTGTTCAGTTCAGTTTGACTGGCATTCTTGATCCCTAAAGCGAACACAACAACACCCTTATCTCTAAGTTCAATCGCTGGTTTGGTTACATCATCGTCCGACGTTCCGTCAGTGATCACAATTGCAATCTGAGGGATTCCTTGATTTGCTCGACTGACTGAGCTTTTTGTAAAGTAATTGTCTTTCATATAGTGTATGGCTTTCCCTATGGCAGTGTTTCCTTTCCTGAAAGGGAATGTTTTTACCTGTTTAAGGATGTCATTCTTGTTTTGATTTGACCGAAAAGTGATCTCTTGTGATTCGCCATCGTTGTAATGGATTAAACCAATCCTCACCTTTTGTGCACCCACATTCAGGTTACGAATAATATTAGAGAGAAAATTACGGACAAGTTCAAAATGTGTTTCTCCGATGCTCGTGGATCCGACTACTAGGAAAACAATATCAGCAATCGGTGCATCTTGCACACTGTAAAACACACAAGCCAAATACAAATTTATGAGCTGCAGTAGAAATATTTTCCAGAATAATACTAAAACAGACTTTAAAAGGAGAAATAACACCAAAATAGTAGGAATAAAAAATGCAGCAAGTGATATAATAATTGTCTCCAGTGCTAATTATCAGATTGCGACATTCCATGTCTAAAGATGTTTCCATTCACAAATACTACAAGGATCATCTCCCCTGAGTTCATTCATGTTTCTCCCAAAAGCCACTTACTGGAGTCCTGTAGCTCAGTGGTAAGAGCACTCGCTTTGCAAGTGAGAGACCTGAGTTCAATTCCAGGCAGGTCAGGGCGAAACCTTGGGCAAGTTTCCTTACTCCACACAGAGACTAATAATAATCCCTCCAAAACCAAAAACAATAATAAATTGGTCATTTTCAATCTACGACTGTTTGTGGGACATTGCTGTGCGCAATTGGCTGCCGCGTTCGCCCACAAATATACAGTCAATTCACTTTACAGTGTGTTTTGTGAAGCGCTTTGGGACGTCCGCCTGACGTGAAAAGCGCTATATCAGATGCAAGGATTATTATTATTATTATTATTATATTACTGCAGCTTTACAGCCACGTGGACACTCTAATCCTGCCAACCATGCAGATCCTAGATATTTGTCTGTTCAGAGAATACCAGCTTTGAAAAGAAATTATTGACTGGTCAGCTCCAAGCACAGAATGTCGCATGATATGATAATTATCACATCTTCCTTCCTCATGTAGTTGGTGTCAGGCACTATTTGTCTTCTCGGTTTCTGCTCTGCACGATGATGAATTTAGCACAGTTATGTGAATATATAATGAGAACGCAATATAGAACAAACCAACATAACGAAAAGTCTATTCCTGCTGCATGCCCATACAAAACTGCAGAAAATATTAGAATCTCTAAATTTCTCAGAGTGCTCAAGGTTACCCTATTTCACTAAATACGAGCAAATCAGGATCAAGACTTCCTTAGAGAATAGATAATCCAAATTACTTCAGGAACGCAAACATTTACTTACCACCAGATCACGGACCAAGCAGATAAGATTATAATTACAATTAAAATTACGATCATGGAAGATCCCTGCACTAGGAGCCTCCTATGCCTTATTTTTCCAAATTTGTATTTTCGTAAAGGTTAAATCCAGTCACACGGGGTCAATTAGTATGTTCAGCCATTTGCTATGGATATTCATATTAAATGAACAAGTAACATGAAGCATCACTTCACATCACAAGATCACAATACTGGTCTGGATGAAAAAGGCCGTTGTCCATCCAAACCACCCTCCCTTATTACTGCATCAAGCGCATATGTTTTTTTTAAAAAAAACATGTCTAGTGTCCTGGTCTCTATCACCTTTTCTGGTAACCTGTGCTAGTTGTTGATTATCTTCTGCATAAAGAAACATTTCCTCGTGTCTGTCCTGAAATTGCCCTTTACAACTCTAAACCTATGTCCTCTTGTTCTTCTTCCCGATTATTGATCTGGGTTTACTTTTTCAATCCTATTTAAAAGTTGTACACCTCTATGTGGTCCTCTCTGACTTGCTTTCTCTCAAGACTGAAGAACCCTAACTTATCTAATGTTGTTCATAGCTCATTCGACTAATACTTGGGATCATCCTTGTTAAATATGACTAATCAGTTCACAATACACTCTAAGGATATCTATTCAAGCTCCTTATTTGGAGTTAGAACCAATGTTCCAAAGATCTGTAATAGGAACCCTGATAAATTATATACAATTGGTTTCCTATCCTTTTGTCACTATGTCAGAAGAAGCTTGATATTGTTGCTGTTGAATGGTTCGCCTACATTGCACCTCTTGGACTATTGTTAGTTTGTGTAAACACGTTATGATTAAACACTGCTGGAGTGTAATAACGATATTAATAATAATAATAATCCTTGCATTTGATATAGCGCTTTTCATGTCGGGAGGACGTCCCAAAGCGCTTCACAGAATATACTGTAAAGTGAATTGACTGTATATTTGTGGGCGAACGCGGCAGCCAATTGCGCACAGCAATGTCCCACAAACAGTCGTGGATTGAAAATGACCAAGTTATTATTGTTTTTGGTTTTTGGAGGGATTATTATTAGGCTCTGTGTGGAGTAAGGAAACTTGCCCAAGGTTTCACCCTGCCTGGAATTGAACTCAGGTCTCTCACTTGCAAAGCGAGTGCTCTAACCACTGAGCTACAGGACTACAGTAATCAGCAACAGTGTAAAAATAACATTGTAAGAAATAACATTAATAATAATTCTGATTTGGCAGAAAGAAAACATCATTACCTGCTGGTGGTTCCTTTGAATCTCCTTGTTTAGTTATATTTTTTATTGTAGAAACCACATCTTGTGATGGCTGATACACAATGTTAAAGTCAATAGTTTTGAATATAGATGGTGGGTATGAAAAGTGCCGAGTTATGAACAACTGATCTAAATCTGATTTCCCAACACCTATGGAAATAATTTTCACACCAACTTTGTTCAAAGATTCAAAAGGTGTTTTCACATCATCTTCTGATGGTGTGGCAGAAATGACCACTGCAATCTGAGGAACACCTTCATCCTTTCGACTTCCAGCAGATGGTATAAAGTAGTTTGAGCGAAGGTAATCAATAGCATGTCCTGTTTTTAGTCCTGCTCCACCTCTATAGGTAAACTTCTTCCTTACGTAATTCAGCACCTGGCCCTTTGTGACAAATTGATTCAAGAAGAACTCATTGTGCACGTCCCTGTTATACTGAGCAAGTCCGATTCTGTATTTATCCGCTCCAATATTCAGCTGGCTAATAGTTTGTGTAAGAAAAAGCTGTATCTGTTGAAACCCTATTTTTCCTATGTTCTGAGATCCTTCGACCAGAAATACAACATCAGCAAAAAGCTCAGAAGGACCTGTCAATTTTAAATAATAAGAGTTAATTTTTAATTCTTAAGCTTTTAAATAGTCAGTAAGACTTACAAGTGACTAATCGTTATTGCCCAACTAATAACATAATTATCTATATCAGATATGACAGAGTCATTTCAATGAAAAGCAAACAGAAGGATTAAGAAATGTTGGCCACTTTGAAATATAGATTGAATTTCCATACATGCACATACCAGGATTTGTAAGACAAAAATACTTTGTAGAATATTATTTTCACATTTTTATCAGTGAAAACCTAATTTTTACATAAATATTACAGCACAGAGGTGGCCATTCAGCCCATCGAGCTTATACTAGTTTGGGCTCCTCCATTGAAGCTATAAACTTCAATCCCAATTCCTTGTTCTTTCCCCATACAACAACAACAACTTGCATTTATATAGCACCCTTCATGCGGAGTAGCAACCCACAGTGCTTGACAGTGGCAGAGTCTGATCACAAGCCAGGGAGAGGGAGGGGGGAAGAGGTGACCGTAAGCACGGTTAAGAAGCAGCAATGATTGTCTGGGTTCAAAGTAAAAAGAAAAACTGCACATTAAGTTAGCTTTAGGGTCTAATATATGACAATTTCAAACAGGCTTCTTAATAAGTAAGGAAATGTTCCTTACTAAATAATGATTTTAGAACTTGCTGCAGAATGATAGTCAAATTATTGTACAGAAACAGACCATTTCAGTCATTTAGAAAGCTTTAACACTCAGACGAAGTCAACATACCCAATGTAGGAGTTCTACATAAATTATGGACAATCCTTCTTTTAATGTTATCTAAGTCAGCATAATTCTCGATACTAAATTTTCTGTCTGCTCCTCCAGCGATTTGTATCAGTTCACTATCAAATGCTCTTCCAACTCCAATGGCAAAAACATTGATCTGTTGTTGCCTCAAACCGTTTGCTGGGGCAACGACACTGTCTTGTGATTGTCCATCTGTGATCACAAGAAGGTACTGGGGTACTCCTTCGTTCTTTCGACTCCCTTGAGTTGGTTCAAAGAAACTCTTCACAAATGTTAGGGCCTTTCCAGTGTTAGTTCCTCCTTCTAGCTGGCTCATTTTGTCAATACTATCATGAAGTGTACTTTGGCCAATAGATCTACTCAGGTAACTTTCTGCCTTTTGTTTTGTGCTGTACTGGCCCAATGCGAATTGGAATTTTCTTTCACCAATGTCAAACATTTTTGTGAAGTCTTTCAAGAATTTCTTCATAAGTTGGAAGTCACTTTTTGCGATACTTGACGATCCGTCGATTAGAAAAACAATATCTGCTTTGTCAAGCTCACATTCTGTGGGAGATAAAACACAAAATTACAATACTTTGGTTTTAAAAATTCTTTGTCAACAAAATGTCCATTTTTTGAAAAACAAAGAGCAGAACAATTTGTACCAAATGATATGTACCAAAAATCATTAAATGCTTTGAAGATACCATGATTTTATCTCAAATGGACTAAAGTATACCACTTAGGTTTTATAAATTGCTCACCTGGTTTAGAACCAACGCAGAGTATTTTAGAAATATTCTTTGATAAATATTTCAAGGCTTCAAAATCCTGAACCTTAAAGAACTTCTCTCGTGAACCTCCAATCTCTAGAAGTTCATCTTCATTGGCACCAGCTACACCAACAGCATAGATATCAACACCGCTGCTTCTGATGGCTTTAGCTTCAGCTAGTAAGTCTGATTTGTCTGTAGCTTCCCCATCAGTTATGACTACTAAGAACTGTGGAACCCCTTGTTGTTTTCGACCTCCTCCTACTGGATCTAATAGACTGGTTGCATGTTTGAGGGCCATTGCTGTGTAAGTCGATCCTCCTGCCTGTTGTATTCCATAAATTGCATCACCGACCTCAGTTTTTGTTGTGTATTCATCAAGCTTGAATATTGTTTGGGGTCGGTCACCATAGATAACGGCTCCGAACTGCACTTTGTCCACTGCAACATCAGAGCTGTTCACCACTGCTGCCATGAAGTGCTTCATGCTGTCAAACTGAGCAGGGCCTATACTACCTGACCCATCTACAACAAAAACGATGTCTGCAACTTCTGCTTTCTGGCAATCTGTGAAGGGTAATATGCAAACAATGAATTAGACAACGCTCAAATGTCAACTGGTTGTTTTAAGCATTTTACACTATCCTGACACAATGGGAATAATTCTCTTCTGACCAACACATTTTTCAACCTCAGTGAGCAAGCTTGCCCATTTCTTTGCTTATTGGGCGCAGGCAATGTCCCACATACAGACAATTTTATTTGGGGCATTGCTGTCCAGGACACTGGGAGATACTCCCTACTCTTTTCCAATCATCCTGTGCGATATTTTACATTGATCTGAACAGATGGGAACGTGAATTTTAATGTCTCATTTGAAGAACGACCCAATGCAACACCCCCCCAGCACTGTTTTGGACTAGAATGAGTTCAAGTCCCGACATGGCACTTAAATCCACAACTTTCTGACTCAGAAGCAAGAGCGTTACCAACTGAACCAGGTTGACAACAATAAACTGCATTTATATAGCACCTTTCACATTGGGAGGAAATCCCAAGGCACTGGACCGGTAAGGGTTTGCACCTGAGCTGGGGGTTGGATTTGGCGGGGATAGAAATTTCCATTTGTCTGCCTGGAGTGATACACACTGCTTACCTAATACCAGAGTGTATAATGGAACCTGGTTATGACATGATGGTTGGGATCCATAAAATCTCAACCTGTCTTGTTCATGATCAATGGGATCACTTGTCAGTGCTTCCACATGCACTGTGCACGGATGCACTTGGCCTTCTTGCTTCCCAAGTGCCAGCTGGCTCCCATGGTACAAAAAAAAATGCTGTCGTCAGCCAACCACCAACATTACTTTCTGCATGCTGTGCATGCTGGCAATCTGATGCCCTGAAAGTCAGTCCTTCTTTAATACAGGAGATGGATGGCATGCAGGAAACAAATGGGACTTTATTTGGATTTTTTCATGATAATGTGTCAGGGTCCATATCCCAAACCAAGCCTGGGTTATGTACTATATATTGTACTATTTGAGATGCAGATGAGCCAGATCCAAGACTTGGGGAAGGAACCCAGAGGATGCGTGAGGTGACTGCTGTCTAATTGAAAGTGGTTGGCAAAATGCCTCATTGCTTTTCAGGAATACTGTTTGATTATGAACATAGTCTTCAGGTGGATTGCCAGTGTATAATGTTGCATTTAATATGCACTCTCTTGATTTTAAAACCAATATGGAAAAATGTAGCTTACCTTCCCAGGGACTGCAAATCTCCCATAAAATTTGCTTCTGTATTTCTGTTAGAGCATCAAAGTTTTCAATGTAATGCACTTTAGTCGGGGATCCTCCAATCTCTAAAAGCTGAGTCATATTGGCATTGAAGATACCGATGGCAAAAATAGTGATTCCTTTATCTCTTAAAGCTTTGGCAGGTGTAAGGACCTCATCCTGTGCCTCTCCATCTGTAATCACTATGAGGTACTGTGCAATATTAGGTCGACCTCCTCTTGATCCATGAAAGTAATCTGCAGTAAATGTCAGTGCTTGACCTGTTTCAGTTCCTCCTCCCAACTGTTGCATGCTATCCAATTCATGCTGTAGGTCAGGTTTCGCAGAATGCCTATTAAGCTCGAAAACCAGAGTTGGTGCAGATGAAAACTGTATTGCACCAATCTGAACTTTATCTGATCCAATGTTGACTTTCTTTACAAAAGAGGCCATGAAAGCTTTCATTTTCATAAAGTCTTCAGAGTTTATGCTTCCTGATCCATCAATTAGAAAGATGATATCAGCCTTGTTCAGATCACTGCAGGCTAAAAGAAAAGAAATATTCACATGTTAGATTTTCAAGAAGTTCATCTGTACTCCGATCCTGTAATTGCATTTTTGTAAAAGAAAGAGGGCAGAGAGAAGGGAGAGAGAGGGAGAGAGAGCGAGACTGTGTGAGACTGTGTGAGAGATGGGGAGAATGTGTGAGAGAGAGGGAGTGAGAGAGGGGGAGAGAAAGAAACAGAAAGAGTGCGTGAGAGAGTCGAGGGAGAGAGTGATTGAAAGAGTTCGAGAGTGTGTGTGAGAGAGAGAAGTGAGAATGATAGAGAGAGAGAGGAGAGAGTGAAAAAATAAAATCAAAGAGCAGAGAGAGAAGTGAGGGCAGTGTTTCATGGTTCACGATCAGGACAGATGATTAGAGTCTCCCATGGTCGCTGTGGGGGGCAGAAAGCTCCCTTTCCCCAGTGAAAAACCTCTCCACGTCCTTTAATCACCCCCACCACCACATCCTACCTCTGTGACCTCTTGACATGGCCATTCCCTTTGCCCAGCAAACGCCAGCTTGCTTCATGTCTCCCCACATCCCATCTGCCCCACCATTGGACATCCCTGCCCCGCCACCCAGTTCCCGTCCCCTGTCTGGATTTCCATTCCTGGAGGCCCTCCAACTCCCTGCTCTTCCCCTCTTTCGAAGCACATCAAAACCTAACTCTCTGACCACTCTTTTGGTTATCTTTTCCCCTCCTCATCCCACCTCTCTATCAGCTCCCATCCCTAGCTCAGGTTCCAAGCCAGCAATGCCGAGGACTTTGAGATATCCTTCCAATATGAAAAAGATGCTGTGTAAATGTAATTATGTTTTTGGAAGGAAAACACAAAATATTGTTTTGGAAGGAAAACACAAAACAGAGTATCCGGTCTGCGGCAGCCAAAAGGGTGGACCACCGTGATAGGTGATTATATGATTTATATAGATAAGAACATAAAAAATAGGATCAGGAGTAGGTCATTCGGCCCCTCGAGCCTGCCCCGCCATTTAATAAGATCATGGCTGATCTACTAACCGAATTCCATTTACCCGCCCTATCCCCATATCCCTTAATCCCTTTAGTTTTTAAAAATCTATCAATCTCAGTCTTGAATATGTTCAATGACTGAGCATCCACAGTCTTCTGGGGTAGAGAATTCCATAAATTCATTACTCTCTGAGTGAAGAAATGTTTTGTCAACTTAGTCCTGAGACTATGACCCCTGGTTTTAGATTCTCCAACCAGGGGAAACAGTCTCACACTATCTGCCCTGTCAAGACCCTTAAGAATCTTATATGTTTCTATAAGATCACCTCTAATTCTTCTATATTCTAAAGAATATAGGCCTAGTCTACTCAGAATATAGGCTTAATCTACTCAGACTTATGCGAGTTTTACTGTAGTGTGAGATAGCTCAGTGTATCTCTGTGAAAGCCCAACTGGAGTCTCAGTCACAGAATCAAATTCCAATTGTAAGGAGCATTCAAGCCTGATTTCTCTGCATGGTGCGCTTCACCAGTTTTACCTTTACTCAGAGATGAGAGTGCTACTCTTTCAGCCAACTGATATAAAAAAAACACAGTGACAATCTTCCTTTGAAAAGAGAGGAAGAACATTATAGCTTTCAAAAAGAATCCAAAGATTGTTATTTCAACACACTTTGGATTGTGTGTTAAAAAGTGACGTGCAGAGAGAAATTCCACCTAGGTCTCATTTTCAATTTATGTAGTATTTCAATATCAGAATTTAGCAGATTCTTAAACACAGCCTTATTTTGAAGCCAGTTTTCTGCACTTTGTTTTAAAAAGAACTCCAGATAACTGGTTCCAAAGAATTCAACAGTTTGACAAATTCTGGTCACTCTAAACCACTACGTACACAGACTATCTGTGACACACTTGCCTTTCCCAGGTGGAATTTCTCCTCACTTGTTTCTTTTACAAGCGTGAGGGACCTGGATTCCTCTTTAAATGTTAATTTCCTTTCCAAATCCTTGGTATTACAAGTATAGTAATGAATCCAGTTTTCTTCTTTATGACCAAAAGAAAGCATCAGATCAGAATCAGTTCTGGAATAGCTTATCAATCACAAGCCTGGAGGAAATGTAACATTTTAGCGTGTCCAGAAATTGCCGAATTGTTGAATTCATTCAACTTTGAAAAAAACTTCCAGAAGAAATGGTTTCAAAATTAATAATAATAATAATCCTTGCATTTGATATAGCGCTTTTCACATCTTCCAGATGTCTCAAAGCGCTTCACAAAATATGCTGTCAAGTGAATTGACCGTATATTTGTGGGTGAAACGCGGCAGTCAATTGCACACAGCAGTGTCACACAGACAGTGGTGGATTGAAAATGACCAATTTATTATTGTTTTTTTTTGGAGGTATTGTTATCAGGTGTGTGGAGTAAAAAAACTTGCCCAAGGATTCACCCTGCCTGCAATTGAACCCAGGTGTCTTGCTTGTAAGGCGAGTGCTCTAACCACTGGGCTACAATTTCTTAAATAATGTCTTAAAATTAAGACAGTATTTAAGAAATTGAAAAACTCTGGGCACTGTGAAAGGTTAAGCAAATAGAGTAAATCTAGAGCAGTTATAATTTGTGTAAATGGACAAAAATTCTGTTGAGTACTTCATTCAACACTCCCCTCAGACCTGCACCAACCCAGAGCACCTGCTAACAATGTTACCCTTAAATCTTTTCTATTTGTCAATGTGTCACTAACTGGAGTGTACAAATCTAAGTGAATGGATTTGAACATGAATATGAGGATCTTGAAGTTGATCTGTTCAGTGATGGGAAACCAGTGGAGTCAGTCCAGAACTGGTGAGATGTTGGTACGGAGTTTGGTCCGGATCAGTATGCACATACACACTCTCTCTCTCCCTTTTCCCTCAATAATAATAATAATCTTTGCATTTGATATAGTGACTTATCCATAGACTGCAGATCATCCAGAACTCTACAGCCGATGTACTCTCCCATACCAGGCTCCGTGACACTATCACCCCCATTCTCGCCTGACTTCCGATCACACAGAGGATACAGTTCAAGATCCTGGTCCTCACCTTCAGAGCACTCTATGGCCTTGCTCCCTGCTACCTCTGCGACCTCCTAACCCCCTACCTTCCTGCTCGCTCCCTCCACTCAGGGGGCTCCAGCCTGCTTCACATCCCCCACCTCACTCGCCCCACTATTGGTGGGCAATCGGTAAGGAGACACACTTGCCTTTCCCTCATCTCCAGAGGGACTCCATGACACACTGCAGCCACAGGCAGTATTACCACTCCCCGTAACTCCATCCCCTCACCCCTGGCTGTTGTGCATGATGACGTTGATGTTATGCCCCGGGTAGGGAGAGCATGGAGAGCATTGGGGTGCACACATGCTGTGTTCAGTTTGAGGCAAACGCAGGAAACAAAAGTTTGGCCCGAAAGCAGCCAGTGTTGTTGTGGCATTATAAGTTACGCAGTGATTAATATGACTAGTGCATATAAATTGAAGTAAATTTAATTGGAAATTGACTGGGATTTGGGCGGATGTACAACTTAGGCAATTATATGATTTATACCCATCAAACTTATACGAGTTTTACTGGATAACTCCCGACACACAGGGTCTCAGATCTTGCATCCCAGAGCGCTGAATACCAGAGCATACAGGGCAAATGGGCAGAGGCAAACAGTGGGATGTCTCAAGGCTCTGTAGGATACCCTTACAGTTTTTGCATGTGTTAAAGATCTGGATTTGTGTTAACTTGGGGAGCTTTCTCATGGGGTGTTCTTGCACAAGGTGAAGACAAAAGCATAAACAGGAAAAATCTAGTGAAGAATCACCCACAAATAAATATTAAACATCCGAAGTTTGTAAAAATCTGAGTTTCAAAGTTCAACTCATACTGAATACTTAGAGAAGTTTGTTAGCCTCTTACCTGCTTTTGAACAGATGTCCCGCAGAAGATTGTCTCCCATACTTGTCAATGTATCAAAGTTATGAGTGTAAAATACTTTTTCAGGACCATCTCCAATCACCAATAGTTCAGGCTCGTTAGCCTTACCCACACCTACAGCATACATAACAATTCCCTCTTGTCTTAATTGTTCAGCAGGCGCCATTACATTATCCTGAGACTTTCCATCTGTAACGGTGATCAGAAAACGCTGTACTCTAACTCCGCGACTTCTTTCTGCCTCTCTGAAGTGAGTTTTCATGAAGCTGAGGGCTTGGCCAGTATTAGTGCTGCCTCTGATTTGACCAATCTTTTGAATTGCTAACTCTACCTCTGAGTTACTGGTATATTGAGTAATGTTAAATTCTGTTTGCGGTTTTGAAGCATATTGGGCAACACCAATCCGAACCTTGTCTGGACCAACACTGAAGCCTCTCACTACCCTCATCATAAACGTTTTAATGAGTCTGAAGTTTTCAGGTTTTATGCTCCCTGATCCATCGACCAGGAAAAAAATATCGGCTTCTTCAGTTTTAACACAACCTGAAAAACAGTGATGAAGCTTCTGTTAGCAAAAAACAAAAGTATGTTTAAAGCTCAATAATCACAAGGTAAGTACATTATTATCTTTCCAACAGCAATCTTCTATCAGACCAGTGGAGTTAACACAAAGCACATTAGCACCCATAAGAGTTCTTTGTCTTTTTAGTCTCTCTGCTACTACCATATTATATGGTAGTATCAGGGAGGCTGAAAAGGCTTTATTTCATTTCTGTATTATATAAAGCCTTATTTCTGACTTGGAGAGAAAGAGGGTGTTGCCAATGTGGCGAATGATCAGGAATGTTAATTCAGTGAAGCATACCAAAGCTTGATCTGGCTGGGTAAGCAAGTGTGTTAAAATGGGAAAGAATTTTCATAATAATGATTGTTAATTTGTGTAAACACGTTATGATTAAACACTGCTGGAGTGTAATAACGATATTAATAATAATAATAATCCTTGCATTTGATATAGCGCTTTTCATGTCGGGAGGACGTCCCAAAGCACTTCACAGAAGACACTGTAAAGTGAATTGACTGTAAATTTGTGGGCGAACGCGGCAGCCAATTGCGCACAACAATGTCCCACAAACAGTCGTAGATTGAAAATGACCAATTTATTATTGTTTTTGGAGGGATTATTATTAGGCGTGTGGAGTAAGGAAACTTGCCCAAGGTTTCGCCCTGCCTGGAATTGAACTCAGGTCTCTCGCTTGCAAAGCAAGTGCTCTAACCACTGAGCTACAGGACTCCAATATTATCAAGCAAGGTAACTATTTATGTGGTTCAATGCTGGACCACAATCCCACACAGCCAGAGTATATCTGTACACAGGAAGCCCATTTTCACAAATGTGCTTTGGTAGATGACAAGCTCAATAATCACTGGGTGAGTACATTATTTTTTCTCCAAAGGCATTTTTTCTGTCAGATCAGTGGAGTCACCACAAGCTGCAAATAAAAACGTGATAAGTCTTATTATTTCTAAATAAAGATTTTAGAGGACACAGTAGATTTAAATCTTCCATCTCCTCTCCTGAAAAATACAAGTATATAACGAATAATTATTCTGTTCAAATAATAAATTGCCATTCCTCACCTTGATGAAGCAGCTCTATCTGTTCAGTTACTATGGATGTCTGTTTAACGAGCTCAAAGCAAATCTTCTTCAGGATGTTGGTCCCATGTTTTTGTAACAATTCAAACTTAGGTAGGTTTGTCATATAATTTTCAAAAGGATGTGAAGCAATACTTTGGAGTTCACTTTTGCTGGTGCCTATTGCAAAAACAGTAACACCAGCTTGTCGAAGAGCAGCCGCAGGGTAAGTCACATCATCCTGAGACTTTCCTTCAGTGATCACCACCGCAATTTGTGGAACTCCTTGATCTGCCCGACCACCAGCAATTGAAACAAAGCTATTCTGTGTTGTATAGTCAATCGCAGCTCCAGTAAGAGACTCTCCTTTCCTGTAAGGTATGCTTTTCAAGCGCTGGAGCATATCAGTCTTGTTTAGAGGTGTATCAAGATAAAACACTGGCATTGTGATCGTACTATACAGAGACAAACCCACTCTCACTCGGTCCATCTCAATGTCAAATGCACTGATAACATTGGACAGAAACTCTCGGATCAGCTGAAAGTTGGTTTCTCCGAGGCTACCCGATCCATCCACCAGGAAAATGATATCAGCCACTGAGTAAGCCTGGCACACTAAAAAAAAGACATTATAAATCCATGGTAAGTACATGACAATATGTCTTCAAGTACAATGCTTCCTGAAACAAAATAACTTGGTGGTGTTCAATGAAGAAATAGAAAGAGAAAAGTATCAGATTTTAGCCCTCAACAACAGATAAACACTGAAAAAATAATCTAAAAATATGCCAGGCACTAGGAAAAAACCACCAACTTGATAGTTTACATCAATGTTACTTTAAATTGCTTTTAAATTGGGAACACTGCGTATTTTACCACCCAGATCTCGTTTCATGTTTTCAGGGAGGATGGAGCAAGGTGGAGGGATTCCTGTATGTATAGAAAAGGAATTTTCTTAAAAATCTGAATTTGGCATTTTTTGTCACACCCTATACAGAGAGTGGCAAAGGATTGTGTAAAGTAAAATATTACATATTCAACACACTTTCCAATAGCCACATTTTTTCATAGCACTAGAGGGCAAATGCATTTCTGATTCTGTCGTTTCACTAATATTTGGTGAAGAGTTTAGTCATGGCAATCCCACAGTTGGGGAGGATTCACCAAATCAAAAGTTTGATCAGTCCCAACAATGTGAGGTTAGAGCCTGACTGGAGTCCCATATTGTAGAGTCCAAAGAGACGATAATAAAGACCAATGCCTTTGTATTTCTTTACACCATCACAGGCAGTTACATATTATACTACTACTACTAATAATAATAATAATAATCTGTGCATTTCATATAGTATCTTAACACTTTGTTGAGACGTCTCAAAGTGCTTCACAGAATATATAGATTGACTGTATTTATTTTTGTGGGCAATATGTGGCAGCTAATTGCACACAATAGTGTGCGACAAACAGTCAAGGATTGAGTGACCAAATTATTATTATTTTTTTGGAGGAATTATTACTCCCCGGAAAGCGATCTGCTAATCAACTAACAATTGGATTCCTACTTACTGCTGGGTGAACAGAGAATTAGTATCATAAAAGGCACAAAGATCAGGGAGCTTTCCGGGGAGTAATAATTCCTCCAAAAAAATAATAATAATTTGGTCACTCAATCCTTGACTGTATGTTTTACATCCAATACACAAAAACATAAACGATAAACATGAATTCGGGCCTTTCACTATCATAAAAGTTTGTCATTTGCCTTTTAGACAGCAAAGAAGATTGGCTAGCTACATCAACACTGTTGCTACAAGAGCAGAGGCTAGGTACTCTGTGAAGAGTCACTCACCTTCCAACTCCTCAATTGCTCTCCAAATCTACAAGGGTCAAGTCAGAAAATGGAATACTCACCACTTGCCTTAATGGGTACAGCTAAAACAACACTTGAGAAGATCAACATCAACCAGGAAAAAGAGGTTCACTTTATTGGCACCGCAGCCTCTCAAGTCAAAATTCACTCTTACACTCACTGACGGACTGTGGCTACAGTGTATACTACCCATAGAATGCGCCTTGAGACGTCCTCCCGACCTGAAAGATGCTACACAAATGTAATTGTGCATTGTATTGTAGTGCACGACAGCAACTCACCAACATGTCTTCAACAGCACTTCTCAGCCACAAAACCTTCAACATCCAGGATGTCATGGGTGGGTGAGATCATGGGGATGACATCACTCCTAAGTTCTCCTTCAAGTCACTCCTGACTTGGATGTATAATCATTATTCTTTCATCTTTGCTGAGTCAAAATTCTGGATCTGGTAATTCCCTATCCATCAGCACTGTGGGAGTGGCGTCGCCACAAGAGCTTTCGCCAGTTAATAGAGAAGATTCACCACGACCTTCTCAGGGCAACCAGGAAAGAACAATTACATGCTGACTTTCCCAGTGTTTCCCACATGTAAAAAGCTCCCGAGGTGATGTGATCCAATGTCTAACAAAGGAAGCATATTTCTAAGGTTTGCTTACAATTTGGTGAAACGTTTTACATTATTATGATTTTTACACCACTCGAATAGGGACATCCAAATGGGAAACATGAGTGAAAATTGGCTGTCTAACTTTAATTGTTTTGTGATTTGAGTAATAGCATGTAGATAATACACTGTGAACAATTTAAAGGTGGAAGAGAAAAAAGGAACTTGGCATTACCTGCTGGTCTTTGGAACTCTTTACGTATTGTCGATTTCTTGTCATATTTTTAATGACGCCTATTACATCAGCAGATATGAGTTTGCTATTGCTAAGTGAAGGGTACTGGAGAACAAATGGTGCCTTTGGAAGAAAGGCTATCTTTTCCTGCTCCCTCAAGTCTGAGGTCCGCACACCGATTGAGAGAACCTTGATACCGTCGTTTTTCAAGGCTGTGGCAGCTAAGCTCACATCATCCTCTGACGGTGCAGAAGTGATTATTACTGCAAGCTGAGGAACACCTTCATCTTTTCGGCTTCCGGCGGACGGCGTGAAAAAGGTTTTGTGGAGAAAATCGAGACCGCGGCCTGTTCTTAGACCCATGCCATTCTTAAATTTGTAATTCTTCTTCAGAAAATTCACAACATTATTCTTGTTTTGAAATTTATTCAGTAAGAACTCAGTTCGGGCGTCACCATTGTACTGAGCCAATCCAATCCTGTATCTGTTTTCTCCGATTTCCAGCTTGCTGATAATTTTTAGAAGGACTGTTCGTGCAAGCAAATATTCTGAACGTCCCAACTTTGAAGATCCATCAACCAGGAACACAACATCACCAACATGTTCATCAGGAGCTGTTAAATTATAACAATAAAAAGTCAATACAACAATCTGCATTTACATAGCTCCATTCACATTCAAGAGCATCTCAGAGCGTTACAGAAAAGATGAACATTCTATAATATCTTTTTAAGTGTACTGACAGTTCTAAATAAAAGAAAATTGCTGTTTCAAAATGCTTCAGAGTATTTACTGTAAAGTCACTGTATTTTTTTTAGGTAAATGTGGCAGCCATTTTGCACACAGCAATGTCTCACAAAAAGCCATGTCAAATTTTATTTGGGGGTTATTTAGTGAGGACACGGGAAGAAACTCCCTTCTCTTTTCGACACCCCCCCCCCCCCCCGTCTAGCCAGACTAATGAGTAAAGCTCTGATATGGCGAGCCAGAATTTCCGGCTATCAAGTTTAATTACAATGCCTTTACCGGCATTGTAATTCTTTGATTCCTGCAAGCAGAAGGAATAAGTTGTCTTCTACACATGGGATTCAAACATTCTGAGTCAAAGTTGACATCCCTGGTTGCTGTGAAGACTAGCAAGGACAGAGAGTGCAGCGTTGGGGCACTGGGAGAGTTGGGCCAGCAAGAATCTACAAGTGGAATTAAAAACTAAAAAAAACATTTTGGTTTCATGACTGGGCCAACTTGGTTGCAATTCCAGATACCAGTAAACCAGGGGGTTTACTGTAAATTGGGGGGAAAAAAAAGAAACGTTACACAGTGTTCTGTGCAAGATTAAAAGGTTGATTTTTTTAAATTTGAAACAGTCTCAAAACTCTCAAATAAAGAATGTGAGATGTAAACCAGATTTCACATTCAGCAGTCTGAGATTTGACCCAATTAATAGCACAATTGTCTCTGGCAATATTTGTTCAAACTCCCAAGTTACTTTGTCAAGGCTGATGCCCATTACAATACTGGAGAGCACTGCATTGGAGGAGGTGCCGTCTCTCGGATTAGATTGTGAATTGCGATTCTGTCCGCCTGGTCAGGTATGCAATAATGATCCCATAGCAGTAGCAGAAAAGAAAATGGGGCCTTCAGATAAATTAATCATGCAGTTCATGTGTTACCATTTGAGGAGAGAGAAACTATTATCTGTCTCAGATCAGCTAGCTTGACTTCATCACTAGAAATGTGAGGATTGAATATTCTGGAAGTTTCCTTGTTAACCTGGGAGACGAAGACATTTTTAACTTTCCTGAGGTGATGAATGGATCTGGTAAATTTCTGGTAGACTACAGATGGCTTTTCTCATTCCATGCTTTTATTCTGCTCTAATGACTTGTCATCTCTCTGCTCCTGAGACACCTACATTGAACCTCATGCATCCATCCTCAGTCTTCTCCTTATCTACATGCTTTCTCTTGTCAACAGACATGGTGTCAGCATCCACAAATAGCAATGACACCCAACCCGCACCTCTCTGCCTGCACCCTCAATTCCAGAACCACTGCTGTACTGACTAATTGCCTGGTCTGGATGAGCTTTAATTTCTGTCAGCAAGAGCTCATCCACATTTCCACAGCTTGTATCCTCTCTCACACAAGGCTCTTTGTCATCACCCCATCCCTGCTGGGCTCTATTGAACTCTGTACCCCAGGGGATCACAAGAGTTTCGCAATACATTCTCTAGCAGGCTTGATGCCTTGGCGACTGCCAAACCAGCCCTGTGTTCTCCAGCGATTGGCAAGCGGGTTTGTCGTCTGTTACACCCCTTCACTCAGAAGGAGGGACATTAAGCTCTGCACATCTTACTGAAGCTTACAGATAGCTACCCCTCATTGATTAAAATAACCCACACACAGGTACAAACAGTTCAAATTAAGACCATTTTAAAACAGCAGCTTACATTTATAACAACACCCCTTACGCAGAATAGCGTGCCGGAACCTTTAAAACCTTTCCATGTAGACGGGTCATTAATACAGCAAGAAAAAACAGTAATGTAAATAAAGTTAATTACCTTTTTGTTGGGAGTTGACCACAAATGCACTTGCTGTCAGAAGGAATAAAGCCACTGTTACTCTCCACATTTCCATGGTGGTGAGAGCTCAATCAACCTCCTACCAAAAAGGGGGAAATCTATTTTACATCACAAATCACAATGTGCCTCAACACTTTCACATTATAACTTGTATTGTGATAAACGCAAGATTTGGGATTGATTAATTGTTCAGCTATCACTATTTGAAAGAATCATGTGAGTGTTGTCCTGACTGAGGGATGTCAGCTTTATAATGGTAGAAATCTCAAAAGCACGTTGTCAAAGACACAATATTCAGAGGCAAACAAATTGTCCTGTGGACAAGGTTGACTCCTAATCATTCTGAATCCATTATTCTCTATTTAAATTTGGCAGTGTGCTTCAGTGCTTCAAACATGTTCTGGATAATCAACGTCTCCTTGTGGAGGAATTGATTATCCAGAAGAGGACGTAATTTTGTAATTACAAATGTAATTTGGTTGTTGTTGTCAGAACATAAGAACATAAAAATGAAAGACTAAGGTGCATCCAGTCTGCTTTTCATCATTCTGGCAGTCGGATGCACAATGTATCCCAAGACATTATTTTCTAAAAGATATCTATCCAATCTAATTTGCTTTGGAAAGAAGAAGAAGAACAACAACATGCACTTATATAGCACCCTCCACGCAGGGCAGTGTCTCAGAGCGCTTAACAATGGTGGAGCCCAAGGCCGAGCCAGGGGGAGGGGGAAGGTGACCAAAGGCCTGGTCAAAAAGGAAAGTCTTCAGACATGACCTGAAAATGGGGAAGGAGGGGGCCAGGGGAAGGGGTTGAGGGAGGGAGTTCCAACATTTTTGGGGATAGTGGCTGAAGGCACGGCCTCCGATGGTGGAGCAGAAGGTTCGGGGGACACAGAGGAGGCCGGACCCAGTAGAGCGGAGGCAGCGGGTACTGCTGTGGGGAAAGAGGAGGTTAGGGAGATGGGGGGGTTCCAAGGAATGGTGGGATTTAAATACTAGAGTGAGGATTTTGAAGTCGATCAGCTCTGTGACAGGGAGCCAGTGGAGTTTGCCAAGGACTGGAGTAAATAGGGTACAAAGTTTGGTGCAGGTGAAAATGCGGGCAGCGGAGTATTGAATGAGCTGGATAGTGGAGGAGGGGAGACCGGCAAGGAGGGCCAGTTTCCCATCCTCCACTATTCACAATAACAACTTGCATTTATATAGCGCCCTTCATGCGGGGTGGCGTTCTGGAGTGATTGACAGTTGCAGAGTCTGACCCCGAGCCAGGGGGCAAGGGAGTGGAGAGGTGACTGTAAGCTTGATCCAAAAGGAAGGTCTTTAGGTGGAATTTGAAAGTGGAGAGGATGGGGTCAAGGTGGAGGGATTGAGGGAGAAAGTTCCAGAGTTTCGAGGCACAGTGGCTGAAGGCACGGCCACCAAAGGTCAAGCAAAGGAGATGAGGGGATAAACAGGAGCGTACTCCCTATGGAGCTTCCACCATCTCCCTAGGGAACCTGTTCCATACACTTACTACTCACTCACTGTTGTAGTGCTTCTGCAGATTTACTGTGAACTTGCAGTATCGCAGGCCATGTTCTCTAGGTTCTATCATTATGGACAATGGTGTGGTAGTTTAGTAGTTTGTGTCTCTGCCTTTCATGTGGAGATTGAGGTTCAATTTCCCGATGGAAAAAGGCAACACTTAATACATATTACATGAGGCCAAATTTATATTAGAATAATTGCATTCCTCTTTAACTGTTAGTTTAATTTCTAAAAATGGTGTACGTGTGTGTGTCGGGAGAAAGGTTGGCCATGGTGAGCACAAATTTCAGCTCTCCTCGGTCAATCTTGGGAAAACAAAGTAACATAGGGCCCAGTTTAGGGTCTAAAAATTAAAATTCCTCACCTCAGGGTCAAACAAAATGGGAGCTTCAAGACCTTGAGGAATAAATCACTTACCTGGAGAGGGATGCATCACTTGGTAGCATTTGTAGAACACGAACCTACACCTTATCTCATCTGCTAACAATTCAGAGATTGTAATTGGTTTATCCACAATAGGAATAATCTTTCAGTATTTATCCTCTCAGCCCTTTACAGAATTTTGAACAACTCTATTAGATGTCTTCTTAGCCTTCTATTAGATGTCCAAAATGAAATATGTTTGGGTGTCTATTTCCTAACAGAGCATTTGTTGTTGTGCCAATAAATGCTGCACCAATTAGCTCTAAATAATAATAATAATAATAATAATCCTTGCATTTGATATAGCGCTTTTCACGTCGGGAGGACGTCCCAAAGCGCTTCACAGAATATACTGTAAAGTGAATTGACTGTATATTTGTGGGCGAACGCGGCAGCCAATTGCGCACAGCAATGTCCCACAAACAGTCGTAGATTGGAAATGACCAATTTATTATTGTTTTGGGTTTTTTGGAGGGATTTTTATTAGGCGTGTGGAGTAAGGAAACTTGCCCAAGGTTTCGCCCTGCCTGGAATTGAACCCAGGTGTCTTGCTTGCAAAGCAAGTGCTCTAACCACTGAGCTACAGGACTCCACAATACTCACTCACTGTTGATAAATTGATAATGTATGTCAATTAGAGAATGGCAGCTGGTATAGGAAATTAACTCCATATATAGGGAAGGAAGTACTATTCTGAGGTTTACACTGTGAGTTCAAAGTGTAGCATTAGCTTTGCACCTGACCTGGTGACTGATCTGCAGATACCATTATAAATACCCCAGAATCTACCATAACTCTCTACAAAGGGGGAATGATATATTTACATAAGGAAAGGAAGTAAAAGAAGTAAAACTGATGAATGGCACTGTAGTAATCTAGGCAAAGACTACAATGCACGCGGGGGATTCTAGTCCTGGATTCAAACTCTGGTTACAGCAATCAAATCTATCTTCTATGCCATCTCTCTCTCTTCCCTTACACTCCTATATCATATTGCTACCATCAGTTACTGCAGGAAAGTCTGAAACGTTTGGAAATGACACCTTATGTTCAAAACAACTTAATAGCAACTTCTCTCTCGAGCTGTGCACTTTCTTAAAACACACCGAAGGGGAAAACGTCAAAATTTGGAAGAGATTAATTATCCATTTAAACAAATAAAATAACAAATAAACAAATAAATATACCTTTTTTTTTCCTCCTATAAGAGATTTCAGGAGAAATAAATCCATTGCAGAAGTGAAAGTTTACAGTCTCTGCTGTTGAAGCTCAAGTGTCTAGACTTAGCTACTAATCTACCAAACAACAGACCAAACAATGTGAAAAGGTGCTAAATTAAATGCAAGGATTATTATTATTATTTAAAAATACAAAGCAATTTGAAAGACAACGACCATATATAAACAAAAGGCAAAAACTTTACATTTTGAATTAATAGGTAGATCCATAAACCAATGTGATAATGGTAGTTTCTTATGTTTATATCTCAATCAAAGTCATTAAAAGCTTTTACATTTGGATCGGATAGTCAACAAATACTGTAACATGGGACAGCAAAATCAAGATTTCTTCTTGCACTTAAGCATGGAGAGACTCCTAAATCGCCAAACCCAAAGTCTTTCAAAGCAAACAAAATTAGCACAAACGTATTAAAACGTTTGGGTAAAATTCAGCTAATTAATATTTAATCCATTTTTAATTTAATAAAAGGCATTCAGAGCCTTTTAGTTTACAACGGATTCTTAATTCAGAATTGAATATTACCATTCGAATTATAATTCACACATTTGCTTCCAAAAGTCATCAACGACTCGAGCATTAACAGTTCAGTTCAGCGTGAGCATCACTCCATCGTGTAGATCTATACACTCGATATTTAATCTCCTTATAATGTGACTTGTTCCTTACAATTCGAATAACCTATGTTTACTTATGTTCCAGTAACACCTCGAGTGGACTCGACTGGTAACAACTGTGTTACTGTTACTGCAAAGTCCTTATTGTTAAATCATTATTTTTGTGCTGAAACTTCTAGTGTATTTAGCACGCAGTACATTATCAATATCATTTGAATATAAACTTTTTTTTAAAACTCAATGCAAGTGTTTGCACATTTAATTTCTGCCCAGAGCCAGTGTGCAAACAAGAGAGAAGAGGATCAGAGGACTTACCTATTCACTTACTTACTACATCAGTTGCCTGGAGCAGGTTCTGAAATTCCATGTTAATCTTCCATTGGGTCATGTTTTAAACCTCTCAGAGGCTCCTCCTAACTTCTCAAATGGGGAGCCAGCCCCATCAGGTGTTTGGAAATATCTCAGCAGATTTGACTGTAATTGAAACCCTCCTCCTTTCCTCGCCTCTTCCCGGATTCTGTGTTGGGAGTGATTCCATTTGGATGCAGTAGTTTTTCCAGGCAGCTAGCTGATGTATTTCCCGTTTTCTCCCTGCTCTGGGCCAGTGATCACAGCCAAGTATTACTATGAAGTTACAACATACACATTGGCGTGAAGCTACTCAGCTGAACCAGATAAGAGAAAAAAAGAGTAATTTCTAAAAGAATCCAAATCAGCTGCTTTAAGGATGTAAAAGATGAGCGGAGATTTTAATGATCTGAATGTGAAGTACTGTATATTTCAGCAGGAAATATACAATAGTTTTAAATAAACAAAAAAATTGGAAAAATGCCTACTGACAAAAGATTTGGATGTGAGTATTGACAATACATTTTAGATTCAGATACATTCAGCAGTTGTGCTGTTGACACAGACAAACTATTTCAGGTCAGCCAGGACAAACACATGTCCACTCACAGACATTTGTTTTAAGATTAACTGCATGAAACTCAGCATGATGCATAAGTTTTGCCAAGGCATGGCTAATTACATTGAAGATTTACTGCAAATGCAGGAAGTAATAACAGTAATAATAATAATAATAATCCTTGCATTTGATACAGCGCTTTTCACGTCGGGAGGACGTCCCAAAGCGCTTCACAGGACACACTGTAAAGTGAATTGACTGTATATTTGTGGGCGAACGCGGCAGCCAATTGCGCACAGCAGTGTCCCAAAAACAATCGTAGATTGAGTGACCAAATTAT